CTTGGATCTATAACTGTGTCATGCATCACACAGTCCTTGTTCTGCCACCTCAGACTATACACAGGGAAGGGCAAATATATGAATCCTTCCTCTTCCTTTCTTTTAAAAGAAAAATGTGAACATAGAAAATTATCATGCCACTATTTTCTTTGCATTTAAACTTTGGGGAAGCAAAGCTGAAGTGATAATATCTGGCAAGAGCTGTAGCATGTGATTCTCCTGCTCTGTAGCTTCTGTGTGATATTATAACATTTTGTCGTTGTCGTCTTCTTCCTTTAAAAAAGCCAGCTCTTCCATATCCTATGGACAGCAATAAATGGTTGGATATTGTACAGGGATGACATTCTGTTCACCCTAGCACATCATTGTTAGGATCTAAACAACTATCCCACATCAAGGGGCAAGTTGTTATTTCTTTTTCTTGGAGAGCTCATTTTCCTGCAGCACCTGCACATTTATATTTCAACTTGCATACTGCTCATGCCAAAACACAGTATATGTTCTGGTCAAATCACTGAAGCTACACAAACCACCATTGTTCTCCATGCTCAGGGAACTGCACATACAGTTCAGTAAAGACAGTGTTTCTTTAATTTTAACGGGGGGGGGGGGAATTGTGAAGGTGAAGTACATGTCAGGCTCACAATGGGAACTAGTACCAGGGTCACAAAACGCTGCACAATTGCTGGCCACTGGGGTCCAAATGAATACAAGGAGATCTATATTTGTGACTTTGGGGTTGAGACCATGACTGATCACAAACCAAAGCTTTAGCAAAGGGGATGTTTTGAGAAAAAAACGGCTAAACAGAGAATGTTCAAAAATGAGTTTTCAGAGAACTCATTGTCTTTTATAAGTTGAAGTCTTTCCGTTTACAAATTTGCTTAGCTGTGTTTTATTCCAAACGAACACATCCTCCATCCTTCCTCAAGTCTGTTTACTCAGCTGGATGTCCAGAGGGTCCAATTTTCCTAACAATTGCCCTTGCACGCTAATATAATTGCTGCTCATATGGGTAATTGGTCAGCCTACAGCAGTGCTAGCATGCATTTGTTCATCTGTATTACCGGGCAGCTTCTCAAAATGAATTTTCAACCTCCAGATACTGCTGGAATACATGAAAAGAAGAGCAAGCTTGCAAATGATTTCCGTGGAAGCCATGCAGTAGACAGACAAGTGGGAATATGGAACATATTTCTAGCAAAATACACTTTGGATTCCAAAATACCAAAAGCAAATATGTGCACTCTATAGGCCAGCTCCATAGCTTGTTTACATGAAATAGGATTCCTAAACAGAATCCCTATAACTTCTGTACATCATCACACATTTCACATATGCCATGGGAACTGCTGTGTACATTGTCATTGTGATGGCAGAGTACACTGGAATATAGGAACATAAAAAGTGCCTTGCTAAAGCGATCTAATCTAGTCTTTAATCCTCAGCAGTAGTCAGCCCTATGTGCTTTGGAAACAATATTTATGTGTGACATCCCTCTTTTATTTATTACACTCTGGTTCTGACAAAGAAAAACCTGAGTGACAAAAAAACATACTACATCATGTTTATTTCACCATTATATTTTGCAAATGAAACCACAAATGTGTTATTTTGTATATATAAGAATTATACAAAAATACAGCAAATAATTAGCAATGTGTGCATTGTAGATGTGACTCTTCAAGGAATCTGGGATGCTTGCTTAACTATTTTGTCAAGAGATTAATAAATCTGAACATATCAAAGTACTGCAAAATCAGCTAAATAGTGTGTGTTTTTCTACAGGCAGCGTACTGATTTTAAAAGAGAAATTTAACATACAATTGTTTATGTTTATTTAAAAAATAAGATTTCCCAAAATACAGTACATAAGACATCTTAACAAAAGTAAATAATAATAATTGCTAACATAATTTGTAAAGAAAAACGGGGATGTTACATGAAGGAAAACAAATACAAAAATGTTTATAAAGAAGACACATATATTACTTTGAGATATCACTATACAGTAATAGCACAATATGATTCTCCAGTAATCTTTTATTAGTCAAATTCAAGTACTAGACAGCTTCACAATGCCAAATGTAAATAATTTTTCAGTGTTGTTTTGTAGCAGTCTTGGTACAACAGATAACAACAACCAAGATGGCACTCAGATATGCTCTAAAATGCTGAATTCCTTGTTACAAAACATTATATGCGCCACAATAGAATATACTTTATTATGGCACTTTGGTTGAAAGTTGGTCAGAAGAGATATACCATATGACTTTTAGTACAGCGGAGAATGAAAAGCTGCTTCAAGTATATTCAGAAAGTACTAAGTTTGTTTTACCCTCCCCCCCCAAAAAAAACCCCCAGCAAGCAGCTATCACAATACCAACCCTCTGAAAACCTCAGGCGTAACATTTTCACATTGTGTCCTGATAATGTGTATACAATTACATGTGTTTGACTCTATGGCAGGCAGTGAGATTGTGCTAGACACAACAAGGAAATGATTTGAGTTTTAACAGGGCTAGGTTGGAGGAAATCCCATACCTAGGGTACCTTCAAGCAGTTTTCAGCTCCATTCTACATTTCTGTTAAGAGCAGTTATTGCTGAAGAACCACTTCATAGATACTTCTAGATATAGATACAATGGTATCTTGGTTCTCAAATGCCTTGTTACTCAAACAACTTGGAACCTAAACACTGCAAACCTGGAAGTAAGTGTTCTGGTTTGTGAACTTTTTTCAGAAGCCAAACATTCTCCATTTTGAGTGTTACACTTCTGGTTTGAGTGTTACGCTGAGGTCTGTCTGTTTTTGCTATTACTTTGTGGGGTTTTTTGTGTGACTGAGTGGAACCCAGTTCAGCTACTGATTGATTGATTGTGTGACTGCAGTACTGTTTATTGCTTTCATTTTATGTATCAATGGTCTTGTTAGATTGTAAAATTCATGTTAAATTGCTGTTTTAGGGGTTGTTTTTAAAAGTCTGGAACGGATTAATCCATTTTGCATTAATTTCTATAGGAAAGTGCACCTTGGTTTTGGAATGCTTTGGTTTTGGAACGAACTTCCGGAACGGATTAAGTTTGAGAACCAAGGTACCACTGTAAAATGATTTATCAAGCTTCAGTGTGTAGCTACAACACAGCAATCAAATGGCCATTAATGTTGGATCATAGATCTGTAGCAATCCTAGAGGAAAAACATTATTTGGAAGTATCCTAAGGAATTCTTACACATTACCTTTTAAAGCTACAACATAGCAGCTCATGAGAAATCAAGCCGTCACGCGTGTTTCTCATATTCACTGACACAGGGAAGTAAAGACATGCTTCTTCTGCAGATCCAAAACATCCGCTATTTTTGGTTTGAACCTATAACCGCAGTTCCATAAACCAGACCAAAACTTTTGACCTTCAGATCCATTCAACTCCTTGACCAGCAGGTGATGGCTGCTTTAAGTTCCACAATTACTAATACTATACACATTCCCTTTAGAAAGATGCTTTACCTGGAAATCTTAGCTATCCCATCTAAGTTTGGGTATGTCAGGTCAGAGGAAACAGCTTTTGTCCCTCCTGTTATAGGATTTTAGCAGCCAGAGGCAGATGTTGGCTAAACAGAAGTATAATTCAATTTGTTGAAATCAAGTATCTCATCCCCAAAATATATGGGGGAATGGTGTGGGCAACCAGTATATGTTGCTAGATATAAACACTCTTTTATTTGCCCTGTACTGCAGCACTGTTTATTTCTCTTACTTACCTGGGAATAAGTCTCCCTGTGTGTAGGACTGCACAGTAAATAACTTGTTCAAAGATTGAGACCAAAAGATACAGCTCACATGGCCAAACTCCCATTGGTTTTAATGGTGCTGAACTACACCCAGTTTTTATTCTATGTTATTTTCTCTTTAGAGCGGCTTTCTGCTACTCCTTATTTCCTCCTGAACTACAACAGAGGCATATTTTAATGCTGATCCACAATACAAAGCTATTAGCTATAAAAGTGAAATCTTTTAATCATTTAATTTCTGACTGTGCAATTTTAAATCACTGGAAGCAAAAAGTTTTAATGCTGCATTTTTTCATTATCTAATACTTTCTAACTGCAAAACTCTACAGATCTTTCATTAAGCTTGCTTTGGTCATCTGTGTGGTGCCTCTGTATGCAAACACTTGTTGATTCCCAGAAATTGAAATTAATATTGCTAGTGTGAGAATAGGTTATCTGATTTACTATAGCAAATCATCCCATTTTGCATTAGAAGTGCAGCATATATTTTTGCATATTATAGAATAAACATATTGTTCCTGGTTTGTACTAAACCATTTGAGTAGCTTTGGGGCGTATTAGGAATTTGCACTGTCAATACCATTATCAATGGCACCATCAAATGCAGTTTGCATTATTTTGGGCATTCCTTTTCCACAATCAAGTCTTCTCTGCCATTTCAACCTACCTTGCCATTAACCTGTTTGCTGAGATACCGTGTGATGATTAAACAAAAAATGGACACAGCACTCTTATTGGGTAAATTTTCTTCCAATCTTTAACTTGTTTTGTGTGAGGTAGAGAGGAATATATATATTGTACATGAAAAATGAAACACACTTGCTGGGGAGCACACCCCCAAATGGGCTGGTCTCAGGTTTGTGATAGGCCTGTAGCAAAGTGCCCTCTGGTGAGTCCGATCCTCCATCAGTGGGTCCTATTAGGCTGACCTAGCCATGGGGAGTGGCGATGGTTGGAAAGGCATTCTAAGCAGTGCCGAGTGATTGGCTCGAACTACCCTTTCCATTTTTCACAATGCCCTGAAGCACTGGGATGGAGCCCCCGGGAGATGGTGCCAGGTGTGGGAATTGCTTGGTCCCTTAAAAAGTTGCTCAAGGATGGTGGGTGCCAATGTTTACATCAACAGGGTTTACTTCCACCTAAACCTGGATTCTTCTTCTCTGGCAATCACTCGTAGCCGAGTAAGATTGTCTTCCATAAACACGATTTTAACAATGAGTCTGTAAGGGACTGTGGAGGCCAATTCTGGACCCACGTGTCCTTCCACAGTGGGGACATTGGTTCCCAGGCGGGAGTTGATCACAGTGTGGATTTGCCAAGCGTGCCTTCCTCCTAGCACATTTCTCCCTTGCATTCTGAGTTTGAGTGTCTTCAAAGTCCATGACACCTTTGGTAAAGGCTGTTCTCCAACTGGAGTGCTCGCCGGCCGGTGTTTCCCAGTTGTCGGTGTATATACTACATTTAAAAAGATTTGCCTTGTCTTTAAACCTCTTTCGTTGCCCACCAACATTACACTTTCCATTTTTAAGTTCAGAATAGAGCAGTTGTTTTGGAAGACGATAATCAGGCATCCACACAACATGACCAGTCCAACGAAGTTGATGTTGAAGAATCATTGCTTCAACACTGGTGATCTTTGCTTCATCCAGTACACTGATATTGGTTCGCCTGTCTTCCCAAGCGATGTGTAAGATTTTTTTGGAGACACTGTTGATGGAATCTTTCGAGAAGTTGGAGATGGTGTTTGTAAGTGGTCCATGTTTTACAAGCATACAGTAAGGTTGGTAGTACAATAGCTTTGTAAACAAGCATTTTGGTTTCCCTGCATTAGGCTAAGTGTCCCATAAGTCCATGACCCATGTTTGGAATGGAATTACCTTTTAAATCCAGTGGTCTACAGTAGCTCCCAATAACATCTAGATCTCAATGTCTAACAACCCAACCCAAGCTGCACAGTATTTTTAAAAGGGGTCGTAGGGAGAAGACTCCTTATGTCCAAGAAACAGAACATCCCCCTAATATATGGAGTCTACGCAAAGCTGCACCTGGTCTATCTCCAGAGCAAGAGAATTTACAGGGAGTTCTGGGCTGCCTGCCTTTCCTAGTGACTGCATTATGAATCTGCAGTGGGGCCAGTAGAGCTACTGCCTTGGATTATCTGAAGAAGGTTTTTGAAAATATCCTCTGAAACCTAACTTGCACGCTATAGAACTGTAAATATATTTATCCTCATACACTGACATGACAAGTCCAGTTCTAAGGCTGTGTTTGCTGCTGTATAAAGCTCCGAAGATGATGAAACCAAATGGAGGAAGTCTAGTTGTGAATTCTTCACTTTACATACCATTGACATCCCTTTAATGAAATGGATGTATATGGGAACATGGCCATAAAGCTAGACTTACACCAGAGCACCGTTAGCTCTTATAGCATACTGTACATCTCTCAGCACTAAGTGTAGAGCATTAAATCTTTTTCAAGACTGGGGTGCTATTTCTAGTTGCAAATATGTCCCATAGCACCAACTATACATATAAGAAATAATAGAAGGGTGGTTTTCATTCTACCGACGCAGAAAGTTAAGAAAGCCAGAGCCATTTTTGTATAAATTTTAAACTGTCCTCCATTTTGCCATTATGGTAATAACACTTTTATTTTATTTTTATAGCTTAGAATAGGAAAAGGGGGGAAAATATTATTGTTCAATCAGTGCACATGATAGGGCATTTCCAGATCAGATCTCTTAAAAAATCAGGGGGCACTTCTTGTGATTTATCACACTGATATGGTGAGGTAAACACGGAGTACAATAGGATTGTCCCACCCCGTGAAATGTGTGCAGAAAGCATGTTGCGCAGAGCGCATGTGTACCAAATCACACATGTAGGAGCTGCTACATGCATTCCTGATTCAACAGGCATGTGCAGTACGCATTGGGAACCCTACTCCAAAGCGTTGCCTAACTTGCAGGCTGCCCAGAGGGGAAACAGAGGCACATGCAGATCTCTAGGCTTGACTGTGAGCTGTGGCTCAGATGGTATGGCTGCAGTGCCCAGTCTCCATCGACAGGTGAGGTTTGTAGACTTTGTTCTCTTACTTGGTCCTAATGAATATGCTGGTCAGGAATCTCAGCAATCATTGCAGCTGAACATTGTCATTACATTCGCCCAGTGAGCCTTCCCACCCACTTTTAGGCAGCTGCCAATAACTGAACTAGGCCTCCCTGCGTCTCCTCACTCATTGATTAACCTAGGGATAGTTCAGTCAGTAAAGCCTGAGAATCTTACTCTCAGGGTTGTGAGTTCAAGGCCCATATCGCGCAAAAGATTCCTGAATTGCAGGGGGTTGATCTAGATGACCCTCGTGCCCCCTTCCATCTCTATAATTCTGTGATTCTATGGCATCCTAGGATCACCCTTTGTAAGCAAAAGCGTGCTTCAGTCAGGGAACAAAGAGTTAAAATTACAGGACACATCATCATGAAATCTAGTTGGTAACTACCCTAATGATATTGGAATTGAATGATAAATTAAAGGTGTTAAAATATATATTTTTCTAATCAAATAAATGAATAAATTCTGCCTAAAGTCTGATTCTTATATTACATACATTTACACAGCTATTAATTATTTTAGGTGCCAGATCGCAGGCATTCCCCCCCACCTCCGCCAACTGCCTCGTTTACAATTATTAATGCTTAGCATTGCATGAACATTATGCACTTTTCAACTACTTCAATTCAGACATCCAAAAATTAAGAGATTATAAACAAACGGCACAGATGCAAAATAAGAGTAGAAAGCTAAGCAGCTGCCCTTGTCATATTAAAACACATTTATTTCCAACTAATCTCTCAATTTATTATCCTAATGTTATGTTTCAGATCCACCAGGAAAAGCATTTCCTAGGATTTAAATCTGGGGTTTAGTGGTTATGAGGTGACTCCACAGAACTATCTATCATTATGAAATGGGAGGTAATTTACAGAGCAGATAGCCAGTCCAGTTCCTTTAAACTGATAATTTCATAGCATTTTACTAGGGGATGGACACTAAATATTAGATAGAGAGAGAAAGAGCGCTTACAACATTTCATTGAACTTTTACCATTTCAATGGTCTGCCTGGATTTCGTAGCAGTATATGCAGAACTGGCAGGAGTTAACCACCTGAGAACTGACAAAGGCTCAATCCCTAACACATCAGATGATGTTGCAAGGACAGATATTGACTACTCCAGTCAGGTTTATTACTAAATATGTCAGCAAAAAAACCCTGCTAATATCTGAGTGCCAGAATGAGCTCTTTGTTTTTTCTTTTCTTTTCTGGATACACAGGGACTGTTTTTCCAAGTCAAGTAATATAAGACATTTATTGCACCATCATGCATCAGAATCTAAACATACTTTCTGGCACAAATCTCAATACTCAAGTATGAAAAAGTGACACATAAAAATACCCTGAATCTTGTTTTCTGAAGTTAGAACATTATTTTTATTCGAGGGTGGAATACCATTGTCATTACATAATTCAACCAAGAGAGGGCACTTTGAGAACAAGATAAATAAAGATATCTCAACCTCGAATAGTATGTATAGAAACTTTTAGAATGACTGGGACTGTTTTTCTGATGCATTCAAAATTATCTTAGATTTAGACTTTGCACAAAAGGCATGCATTCATAACAGTACCTTAGGCAGTAGAACACAACAGGCATTTAACAGACGTCATTACTGCTTCTGTCCTGAATTTGATTTTCAAAATAAATAATAGCAATAACATAACTGCATAGAGCAACTGTTCCAATTGATATTAAAAGGTGCTAAAATGGAGTTACGGAAGCCAGCGCACAAACAATCTTAGGAAAAAAGGAAATTAAGAACTGTGTTCCTTAAAAGGGAAATGGATACCCTGATTCTGTCAAAAATCTGAATGGCTTTTGTGACTTTTGGAAGACTGGTAGCTCATCTCTTTTCTTAATCAATTTGCAAGGAACATTTATATTAAGTCACTTATTTAAACTTTCCTAAAAGCCTAACAGGCTTTCTCAAAATGAAAAGACCAGAGGGACATTTCAAAACATGAAATAATTGCTGTCATTTTTATGGCGATGCGTGCAGAATTACCAGAATATCCCATTTTTTAGAAGAGGCTGGAAGCTGGGGAAGGTGGCCGAGGAAAGGATTGGCCATTTCTTCACTTGCACTAAAACTGCACTTACTTACTTACTTACTTGGAAGTATTTGCTAGCAACCACAATGTAATCAAGTTTATAATAAAGTTACATCTCTGTGAGATACAGTTTAGGATGTCTAGTTCTGTTTTTGTAGGACGGGCCTCCTATCCGACATGGGCGCTGCCTCGGTGGGTTACTTTAACCACATGCAGTATTTGCCTGCCCAGGACCACGTAGGCTGAAGATTGCTAGGGTGCAAAATCTGCTTGCACAGGTGAGCACCTTTTATATGCAAAAGTGGAGCACAGATCATGCTTCCATGGGCAAAGCGCTTATGCTGAAATCTGGGCATGCGGCAACTTTTGAAGAACCAGAAGGGGTTTGCTTCCTTTGCCAATGCCACCTGCCTGACTCCTGTCTGATAGGGCTGGTCATGCAGCAATCAGCAGCACAAAGGCTCAAAAGCGCGCCGCCGAAGGAAGAGCTACACACACGCTGTACTTCGGGACAGTTACGACACGACGTTTGAACTGGTTGACAACAGCACTCGAAAGGAAATAGATACGATAAGGCGGAAAAGCACCAGGACAGCAATGCTTCTTTACCAGAAGTACAACTGGGGTTAAGCCAGGGTTCTTGCTGCAAACTGTGATGCTGTCCTTGATTTAGTGCACTGCTCCTATCTACACAACATTTCTCAGAACTGTTTCTCTGGATCAGCCTTCTGAATAGGGAACATCCTTTTAATGGGGAGCTATCTTGCTAATTTTTATTTTATTTTAAAGAATTCACCCATCCTGCTGAGTAGTACTTGACATAAACCTGAAATCAACACCAACATAGATCTTTGACTCGGATTACCGTTTGATCAGGTCTAATATTGCCTTATAGGTATGCCCGCTTCATCTTGCTTTTAATCACCAACTGCAATTTAATAAATTACTACAATCTCATACACACTTAACTATTGTTTATCTTTTAACATCCATATTTGCTATATATAAATACTATTTTTAAAAATATCTCCCACATATATTACCCAACCTATGCACGCTTGTGATTTAAATTCTATATATTTCTAGCAGTGACTATACAAAACAAGTATTATTTCAGTGACAACACAGTATTTTATATGTTTATATTAGCTATATTTTATACCGATCGGTAAAACCTATAGGTATGATCCAGCCAAAATTAAGCAGTGCAGTCTTCTGCAAGTCTGCTTGGAAGTAAGTCCTATTGAGTTCAATGGGACTTACCCCCCAGGTAAATGTGTTGAGGATTGCAGCAAAAACCCACAGAAACACATGTCATAATAAATTTGTTAGTCATTAAGGTGCTATAAGACCTTTGGATATTTTTGCTGCAACAGACTAGCACAGCTACCATTCAGGAAACCGATGGGCAGGTGGCTCACATGCCCCCCCCCCCCCAATTAGGATTGAAGAGATGCGTAACTTTGACTTGATCATGCCTAATTTTAAAAAATACACATCTACCACAAAGGGCTAATTATTGCATTTACAAAAAACAGGAAAAGAATCTTTTTCTTCCTTTTAGACTTAACAGTGGGCTGAATTCTTCTGCTTTGCTTTTACATAGGAACAATAGACACTTTTAAAATATATAAAACTGAGGACATAAGACACAAAATTGCCCTTGCTTTAAAAAAAACCCAGTGTTAAAATGCCACCCTTTTCTAGAGATGAACTGTTCAACTGATATCATGCATCATAAATAAAAGACAACTTTGTGGATTTTAAGCCAGGTAAGCAGGAAAAGGGTCTTGCCACATAATCTAGTAAGTATTATTGATTTAAAAAAAAAGAATGAAAAAATTCAAGGCAGACAAGACACTTTTGAAACCTATTCATCTATGTAAAACATATCACACTGTCCAATATAAAAACAATTTTGTTCATAACTTTGTACATCAGCTGTGTTTGTTATTAACCTCAAATATTAAAGTAATTCCTCTAAAAAGCTAATTTGAAAGTAAGTACACTTTAAAAGTAAACAGAGAAATGTGCATTTAATCCCAATACGGAATCAAGATCATTATTATTAAAATAAAGCCTGGGGCACATTGTGACGTCTAAGATTGGTGGGTAGATTTTAATTGGCTTGAGGACTGTCATGGTTCTATTATCACAAAACCTGCAACACACTTCCAGCATGGAGGACCCATCTGTGCCCACCATCCATCTGTTTAGACGTGATTGGCAAAGTGGTGGGGAACTCTCAGTGGTCGCCTTTGCCTGAAAGGAATAAACCACAGGATCTTCCAGCGAGTGCCAAAAACTTCTGAGAAGGTCTGCTGCCATGGCTTTCGGGGTCTCGATCTACAGACGACAGCATTATTAGTGAAAGACAGCATTCCCATGGTGCACTTCAGTCAACGAGAACAATGCAGGTTGGCTGGGGAGCCATTACTTGACTCTGATGAATTGCATCCCAGCCACTACAAGAGCAGCTTTCCTTTCACTGCAGCATGCAGATGAGATTTAACTATGAGAAGCACGCACTGCATCTGTATCAACCAAAGGCAGCCTTAAAGCTACGGCAGCCCTCGTGATCTGCACAGTGTTTGCCAACAAAACAGAAACTTTCTCTAGAGCCTGTGCTTTGAAAAGGGAGTTTTGATGGCTTTAGATAGGAAAGAATAGTCTGGTGTTGTTTTTCGCTAAAGGGTCATACGAATCACGGCAAAACAGGGCATGCAAGGCTTTCATTGGTGCCTTCAGAGTTTCCTAAATAGACAATCTTTAACTGTATAGCCCCCCCATTAAGCCTTTAGCACATCAAAACAGAGATACTTACATGTCTTCGCAACAGTTTGCCAGTTTTTCTATGCTTGTAGTGTCCTGTTATAGAGAAGACATTCTTAAGTATTCCCTCGCACAGTGAAGATTGGAAAATAATTATTCCTGCAAATGCATATATAAAAGAACATACATACAATGTTCTAATTCATGGCAAACTAAGGCCCGGGGGCCGGATCCGGGCCAATCGCCTTCTAAATCCAGCCCTCGGACAGTCCAGGGATCAGTGTGTTTTTACATAAGTAGAATGTGTCCTTTTATTTAAAATGCATCTCTGGGTTATTTGTGGGCATAGGAATTCATTCTTTTCCCCCCTTCAGAATATAGTCCAGCCCTCCACAAGGTCTGAGGGACAGTGCACCGGCCCCCTGCTGAAAAAGTCTGCTGACCCCTGTTCTAATTGCATTAGAGATATTTAACACGTCTTACAGAATGAATATGGATATTATTCTGTAGCCAAAGCCAGTGCAAAAAAAATAAAATGAATGCCACGTGAGTGAGATGAATAAACACCTAGCAATAAAGGACAATGGGAGAGGGTTCACCTCAGCAATATCTCTCTCAAAATTACAAATACCTAAATACAGATGGGCGTTTACTCCTGCTAGATTCAACGTGCAGTTAAAATAATTATTAAAACCAGGCATTCCGTCAGGTAAGAGCTTGCTCCCCTGAAGAATGTAACTTATCATCCCCTATAGAAGAGATATATGAATAGCACCACTTAAAACCAGTGGTAAGACAAGTTTCCCATAGCAAAGGTCACAATCTTAAAGTGGTTTTGAATGTCAATCACCCAGTAGAAATCAGCATTTATTGCTTGCCTGCTCAGGTGGGTGAAGACTAAACACCATATAAACATAAGCAAAAACCTCTGCCTGCATTTGTGCTTCCCCGGTCTCTGTATAAGGCTGTCTATGATTACAGCCCAAGTGAATTTTATCACTTATTTCATAAAGTGGTGCGAAGAGGTTTAGAAATACATGAGAACTGGGGTGTTGCAGAAGTTAAATTGGAATCTACCTGTAGATCTTGGGATGATTTGTAGTAAAGCAGCAAGGATTTCCGACTCCCATTTTTCTTTTTAAGCAACAAAAGTAACAAAATTACTTCCCCACCAAAATTAGGCTGCTCAAATGAACAGAAAGCACACCAGGAGCGGATGTTTGTCTGCAAAGATTGCAAGGTCAGTTCAGCTCTGGTATTGAAAAGAAATTCCCAAGCTCAAGAAGTCTTCAAAGACACCTTGTTCTCCCATCCTAACTACGAATCTTTGGCACCTGACTCTCACTGGTAGATCTTGGAGTTCTAGTAAAAAATAGATTATCTCTGACAGGCCCAAAGCCTGCATTAGAGACCTAACTGGTGTGCAATTGTTCACATGCTCTTTCTATCAGATATTGTACTGCGAAGATTTTGGTTTTCCATGAGCCCCAAGGAGGCAACAGGGTAGATATCCAAATGGATAAAAAGAACAATACATGATAGTATAATTTCCATAATATAACTGCAATAATCCTATTGTGTTCCTACTGTAAATAAAGAGGTATGTGTACAAAAAGCAAAAAAAAGCTTGACCACATTGCTAGGGTGGGGAGAATTAAACCAAATTGCAATAAATTGCAATAAAACATGCTCATATTTTCAAAGCCAAACTGATACGCTGCTCTATTTTGCTAATTCAGAACTTCTTCTATTTTAAAATACCTCCCTATTCCAGTAATAGCTTTTCTTTTTTTTCGGAATCTGAATGGGACTATCAATAGCCTATTTGATATTCAAAAAGGCTGCTCAGCAACCTCAGCTGAACACCATGAATAGAGGAATGGAGAAAAGAAACTACTGCCCTTTGAAAGTTAAATATGGAGACAGCTGAACACATGAAAGCAAGTTTGTCTCTCATCCACCTGCAAAGTTCTCCTACCAAGCAGATGGGCGAAATCTACTTTCAATGTGGAGCGAACTAATTTACCTTATGTGATTTTTTTTGGGACTGCAACTGAAAGTCAAGCCAGTAATTTGGAAGTAAAAGGATTGAAATATCATTCCTAAAACAGCCCCCTCCATGTGGAATGTCTCCCCCCCTCCCCATTTGTGTCTCATCACAAAGGATGGGTAACTTAAAAGGGTTTTCCCCTTTTTAAGTTGCTTTTACCCATATGAAGGCCCTGATCATCTGGGACCTTAAGTCCAGGGTCACTGTGGGGGGAGGGGCTGCAATGACAATACAGGGGCTGTTTAAAGTTAGATTTGTAAAACAGTCTAAATCATAGAAAGATTTTGCCATTCACAGTTTTGTTTATGACCATGTGTAAGTATTCGAGAAAAAATCAGCAGCAAGTACAGAATACGGTGTCAGTTTAGTTTTAATTTGTGCAGTCTTCTTTTATATAAAGTGTAAAACTTGTAACTGCGCTAAAATTTCTCCTGCCCTATATTTTCATAACAGATACCATTAACAGTAAAGGGTGTTCTCTAGTGCACTCTGTATGCAGTCTTCATTTGTCACACTAAACCATGGTTTAGCACAAGCCACAGCAAACCATGGCAACATATACTTCCCCTTCCTCTTCCTCTGCAGATAGAAATAGGACTTTTTGTTTTCCCTTAAAAGCAGCTTCTTCTTTGATCCAAACTGTAGGTCATGGTTTACTAGCCATAGCTAACCACGGTTAACTTTCAAAAATCAGCTGTGGGAAACACCACTTGATGTTCAACCACAATTCCTTTCAAGTTGCTTTCAAGGCAAAAAGAAATACTGTATTTTTCTGTGTATAACACGCCCCCTATTTTTGGGGACTTCAAATTAAGAAAATGGTGGGAGACTTCCCAGAGTTATTAAGCTTTTTTATGGGGAAATGCCCGGACTTGTTGAGCTTGGCAATCGGTCACTCGCCTGAACGCAGCTGCCAATCGCATGCCTCACAGAAGACAACCATCGTCTGCCCAATCGCCAACAGCAGCCAGAAATCGCCCACCCAATTGCCGCAACAACAGCCAATCCCAAACAGCCCTTGGCGCATACACCAGTCACCTGCCCAATTGCCACTGTATATCTCCTACTCATGGCTGCCAACAATCGCCCGCCCCCCCCATGCACTACCCTGTATAAGACAACCCCAAATTTTTAACAATATTTTAAAATAAAAAACCCTTGTCTTATACACAGAAAAATACGGCAAGTTTCAATCCTCAGTCATCCTAAGGCTTGGAAATCAGATATGGGGAGATTTAATTTTGTCTGCATATATTATATATATGGCATGGGGGGGGAGCGGTTGAAATATATATTTACACACATTGGAGACAGAGTGACTTTTGCAGCTGTTGTTAAAGTTGAAAAACAATGAAGCACGGAGCAATGGATAAATTTCTGGAACAATAATGGGATATCACCTCCGCCCAAGGCATGGTGGATAACAGCAACAACCATGGGAAAGAAAGCCATAACATCTTACAAGGACAGGAAGAAACACCACTGACAGAATACCGGTAACTGCCACACACAGGAAGAACAAGGATATAGTTTGAGTTCCTCACTTGCAATTTTATGAATCATTTAATGTGTCAACACGAATAGAAGTTATTAATATCACAGTTGTTGTATGGGGGGTTATGATGATGACTGGAATGCAATGGAAATCAATAAGATTTTGGAACGCAGAAATAAAGCAAATAATCAATTTATCTAATCTAGCACGTGGGAGGCCACTTTACCAAAATTACATAATTCGGTATTTGAAAGATTGTTATTAATAATTGTATTATAAATCGGTATTGTTATAATGAGGCTATTATTGGTTTGTGATTGAAAACTAATAAAAAATATTATTTCAAAAACCCTATGTATGAGAAAAAAGGAAATATATAAGTTAAAATGTCCAGGTTTTTTTTTTTTAAAAAAAGACTGGGATCCTAACAGTTGCATACAGAATGCCAGAATCCACCCAGTTTTCATCCTTTAGCTCCTCACTCTTCCTTCCACAAGCTGTTCTTGATGACTGAGAGACATTCCAGAGGGAACATTTAATAAATAACAGCAACAAGTATAGGATTAGAAGAAACAATGGCCACAAACGCATGCACAGAAATGGCTTCTGCTTATGCCCAGGATGTTTAGATCCCTGCCAAAAGAATTTTTTTCCTCCAGCATTCGCCATGTAACATTTTAGAAGCAATATGACATAAATGCATCTTAAAGGCAGGAAGTGAAGTTAATTCGGACAACGTGGGAAAAATAAATGGAAAATGTAGGTAAGAATTAAACAATTATTCTGAAGAAGAGGAAAGTTTGATGTCTAGATGCTTAGCTCTACTTGTAAGAAGGTACAGATGGGCAAAGCCTATGTTACATTTATATCTCCCATCCCAGCTATACAGCAGCCCTTAACAATATTGATTGGTTCAATACGAGCTCAGAAGGTATGTTTCACTTTCTGAATTGCCAATATTTCCCGTGGCGTTTCAGCTTTCTCTAGCAATCTTGTATCTAAATAGTGACCCAGAATGACCCTGCTTAGCTCAGTACATCTCAGGAGATCACAGCTTGAAGTGGGCAAATGGGAATTCTTGTTCTTTCACTTAATAAGAGCACTTCCTGGTAGACGAGTTGCTTTTCATCTTAATGTCAGTAGTTAAATACGTAAACATTCTTGATTAATCCTAGATCTTCAAGGCTTGTTAAATGAACCTCTTATACCAATGAATCAGGAATATTTGAAAGTAGGAATCGTTAAGACTAAAACATTACCACCCAATTTTCCCAGATGAAGCATTGGATATGGTAGCAGGCAACTATCAAAAACTGCTTTGAAAAAAGTTCAAGTGATTGACTCATCAGCTTGCTTGAGAATTCTGAACCCGAAGAGATTTCATGGGATGGATCCAAGTTGATTCAATAGCTCCAGATGGCAATGAATGAACTGTCAGAGAGGAAGGAGCCATCCACCAGGTTTCCTCAAGGACCAGTGCTGGGCCCAGTGCTGTTTAATGTATTCTACAAATGAGTCAAGAGGAAACTCAGATCTATGACAGATGAAAATGGAAAATGGAGAGCCCAGATAACAGGGTACTAGAATAGGAGTACTTGGCAAACAAAATACACTATTTTTTTTTAAGAACTCATAAATGCACAAGTGAAAGATGAGGAATAACTGGGTGCCAGCAAGAAGGATGTAAACGTTATGCTGGAAAATGGGCAGAGACTGGAACTCTAAAGTTCCATGTACTTTATAGAGCTATATAGCTCAAATTATGTTTTTTTAACAACTCTGCTTTCAGTACTCTAGTTTGAGTACAGTCATACCTCGGAAGTCGAACAGAATTCGTTCCAGAAGTCCGTTTGACTTCCAAAACGTTCAGGAACCAATGTGTGGCTCCTGCAGCCAATTGGAAGCCACAATTGACGTTCTGGTTCCAAAGAACATTCATGAACTGGAACACTCACTTCTGGGTTTGCAGCGTTCAGAAACCAAAACATTCAACTCGCAAGGCGTTCGACTTCCGAGGTACGACAGTACTGCTAGACTGAGGCCACAAAGCAGATCTGGGTCTGATCAGTGCCTGCATGAATAACTACCCAATAAACCCACATGGATATGATTTGGGTTCCAGGATGGATATTCCTATAAGAACAAATCATTGAATAAATAAAAGCCTAGCACTTTTAAGCCCCATCCAGCATATTTCTGGGCAACAGAAAAATATTCACAAGGTAGAAAAAAATGGAGAACAGCTAGAACTTAAAATAGCTTTGCAGGCACATTCTAGGTGGAATAAACTTTGATATAGCTCACGCAAGTAACTGCATTGGATTTTAGCCTTATATTCCAGACTTATATTACAACTCCCATGAACCACAGCAAGCATGGCCAATGGCCAGGGAAGATAGTAGCTGCATTTCTGCAATATCTGGAGGTCCAAAGGTTCTCCACACTGATAGAAGTGCAATGTTAGCTTTGCTTCATACACTGCTACAATTATTTAGGAGCAAATAGCAACAACATTGTAGCTTTGTTTAGCAGTGCACATTTTAAAGTTCAAAATATGTCCAAGCCAACGGAGGTGTATCGGGTTCTGTTTTTAGAATTTCTGGACTTTTGAAAAATAATATGCACATTGAACCAAATGTATTCTAGAATATATTTCTAGAATTTCTAGCTCAATTTACAAGTCCCAATTACCACTGCATGACAAGGAGAGTAAGGACGAGTCCTTTGTCTCCTCCCTCCATCATAACATAAGTTTAAGGGGGGGGGGGAGCCCAAACCCCGATATGTATTTGAATCTGTAGCTTCTACAGTAGTACCTCAGGTTAAGTACTTAATTCGTTCCGGAGGTCCGTTCTTAACCTGAAACTGTTCTTAACCTGAAGCACCCCTTTAGCTAATGGGGCCTCTTGCTACCGCCGCTCCGCCGGAGCCCGATTTCTGTTCTCATCCTGAAGCAAAGTTCTTAACCTGAAGCACTATTTCTGGGTTTCTGTAACCTGAAGCGTAGGTAACCTGAGGTACCACTGTATTGGATTGAAAAGCTAAAACAAAACAAAAACCTGCCACCCCATAAGATACATTCTTACAAAGAGCTGTTTAAGAGGATTGCTTCTCTCCATATGAATCTACGCAGACCCGGAGATCAGCCTTTCTTCATGTGCCTCCTCTGCGTGATGTCTGGATGGTGGCAACACAAGAATGGGCCTTCTCTGTAGTGGCTCCCCGTCTGTGAAATGCTCTCCCCAGGGTGGTTCACCTGGCACCTTCATTATACACCTTTAGATGCCAGGCAAAAACGTTCCTCTTTAACCAGGCCTTTGACTGATCCGATTTACATCCTATGCCCTTTTAAAATGTGTTGTGGAAGGGGGGATTGTTGAGTTGTCTTTGTTTTTATTATACATTTTGTGTTTTCTTTATATTGTGATTTTATGTTACAAACCACTGAGATCTGCAGGTTTGGATGGTATACAAATTTAATAAATAATAACAACAGGAGCCAAAGTTATTCTTTTGGTGGTTGTTTTTTAGAGCTACAGAGCTTCTTTATAGTTATAGCCATTTACCTAGGTGTAGGTCCCACTGAAGGGTCACGGGTGGCGCTGTGGGTTAAACACAGAGCCTAGGACTTGCCGATCAGAAAGTCGGCGGTTCGAATCCCGCGACGGGGTGAGCTCCCGTTGCTCTGTCCCAGCTCCTGCCAACCTAGCAGTTTGAAAGCACGTCAAAGTGCAAGTAGGTAAATAGGGACAGCTCCGGTGAGAAGGTAAATGGCATTTCTGTGCGCTGCTCTGGTTTGCCAGAAGCAGCTTAGTCATGTGGCCACATGACCCGGAAGCTGTACGCCGTCTCCCTTGGCCAATAAAGCGAGATGAGCGCCGCAACCCCAGAATCGGCCACGACTGGACCTAAGGGTCAGGGGTTCCTTTACCTTTAAGGTCCCACTGAACTTCAGTGAGGCTTACTTCTGAGTAGACATGCACAGTTAATCTCATATCAAGAATGGCAGTGTTGCGTCTGAAAATTGTTTGCTTTGCACACCGATAGATGCAAATGCATGTTCCCAGTTGAAGCTTGGGCCCTTCTCATGAGTAAAGCTGCATCTAACATTAAAAGCAACGGGGAATCCCTCATTCATAAAAGAGTTCCACAAATGCACTGTAGCACAGACTAGATAGACAACATAGGGCATCGAGATTTTAGTAATAAATGTACAATACGTGCCTTTCATGATGTCTGGAATCACTAAGATTTCTTAGATATCCAGCTATTTGAAGCCAAGCATTATTTTCATGCAAAGCAAAAAATTAGTAGGTTTACATCAGTTTCCCACTTTGGAACAAATATGTCTCAATTCCATTTCAAGGCTATATTGTGATTCCAGTTGACAATATAATTTATAAAATCATTTAGCTCTCACAATGCCCATTCAGTTCAATGGGAAATTTAAACAGCTGTAAGTCACACAGTCCGTATAGTTAAAGCCATGGTTTTCCCAGTAGTGATGTATGGAAGTGAGAGCTGGACCATAAAGAAGGCTGATCGCCGAAGAATTGATGCTTTGGAATTATGGTGCTGGAGGAGACTCTTGAGAGTCCCATGGACTGCAAGAAGATCATACGTATCCATTCTTAAGGAAATCAGGCCTACATGCTCACTGGAAGGACAGATCGTGAAGCTGAGGCTCCAATACAGACCCTGATGTTGGGAAAGATGGAGGGCACAAGGAGAAGGGGACGACAGAGGACAAGATGGTTGGACAGTGTTCTTGAAGCTACAAACATGAGTCTGACCAAACTGCGGGAGACAGTGGAAGACAGGAGTGCCTGGCGTGCTCTGGTCCATGGGGTCACGAAGAGTCGGACACGACTAAACGACTAAACAACAACAACAAGTCACACAGTGCCTCTGAGATGGTACAACACCCAAGTCAAATAAATAAATTGTTAAAATGTGTGTTTTTTTATCTTACCCAATTTGCCGGAAAAGTGGTGTAAAATAATGTTAAAACACAAATGATTAAATTAAATTATCAAATGATAAATTATTGTTTATTGGGTAGTATATATGCCTGTAAATAAATAATCAACTGTCAGGGGTTCAGGAGCAGAGGCAAGGGCAAGGGAGGAAACAGAGAGCGAGGGGGAGGAGGCAGAAGAAAAGATGAGTGATGACGACGACCCGAGATCTCCGAGTCTTTCCAGTGAATCAGAAGATTCACAGAAAGGAGCACCAGTGGCCAGGGCAAGGGGGAGCCTAGGGGACGCCCCAGGAAGATAGAGCCAGAGGGGACTCAGAGGGGAGCAGTTGGAAATCGGGACCAGCGTCACCGCCAGAGAGCAGGGAAGAGGAAGGGAGCCAGCGATCAAGCGCTGGCAGCTCACAACAGGGGGGAGGGCACGAGTCAGGAGTGGCCACACCTCCATCGGGGAGCGAAGAAACGGTCAGACGGAAGGTGGAAGGTTGGGCGCGCGCGCAAGTTCAAATGCACAGGAAGGTGGCACAGTAGGCAGCCCGGAAAGGGAGCCAGGTCCTAAAGCCCGCCGAAAGGAGGGAGAAGAGTCAGGGGGGTCAGCGTCAGCGTCAGCGTCAGAGGAATCCCGGAAAGAAGAGACCCCAGGGGGCAGAGGGACCCAGAGAAGAATAGTCAGGCGGAAAAGGTGGAGCAGGGCTAGGATATTAAGTTGGTGTACAAGGGGCGGAGACTCAGACGGAGCTTCGCCGGTCTAACCATGAGACGTAGAGTTGCACGCAGCAGTTTGAGAATGGAAACTGTAACTCAATAAAGACTTTTGTTTAATGATCGCTGGCTAGCGTGATCCTCTGTGAGCTAGGATCTGGAAGCAGCTCTGACAGTAAGCTCCGTCTCATAAAATTGTGGGCATCTACAGCCTCGCGGAGAGGAGAGAAAGCGGGTGCCTACTAGCGAGCTCACGAAAGGCAGACAATATGACGGCCGAACAGCAGATAGCGGAACTCAGAGAAGCAGTGTCACGACTGAATGCCGAGGCTCTTGCATCCAGGAAGAGAGAGGAGGACGCAGCTGCCGCCTACAGGGATCTCCAGGTCAGGTTGGAAGTGCTTACGAAGCAAGGGCAACTGACACCCAAACCGGAGGGGATTGGGTTGGGGAGACGAACAGGCGGTCTGGTCTCTCACTTCGATGGGAATTTGCAACAGTACCCCAACTTTAGAGCAGATGTAATGTGTGCACTGCAACTGCTGGACAAAGACTTTAGAGATGAGCAAGAGAAGGTGGGATTCATCATGTCCCATTTGCATGGAGATGCTAAAGCATGGCTGCGCAATTTGTGGAGAGATAAGGATCCGGCGCTCCAAAATGCGGATGCCTTTATTAAAGCGATGGATGGGTGCTTTTTATCAAGCATTGACGTGGATCTTGCTCGGCAGCAGATACATGGACTGAAGCAAGGGAGGGCCAGCGTAAGGCAGTACCATGCCCGCTTTTCGCTTTGGTCAGTGCTCTGGAATGGGACAGAGATTCGGCTCCTGTAAGAGACCTGTTTTGGGAGGGATTGCACGGCTCGGTTAAAGATGAAATTGCGAGGGGAGAGACCCCGGACCACGCAGGAGATCGTTCAGAGGGCGCTGGCGGTGGGGGTGCGGCTGGAAGAACGTCCGTGGAGCAGGGACGAAGGGCGTGGAGGGCGCGAACCAGCCAGGGGCTCCTCCTTCCTTCCCAGAGAAGCAGCGCGTGCGCAATCCACGCCTCCGCCAGGAGGAGGAGCGGAACCTATGGAGGTTGGAGGTGCAAGGGCTCAGTCAGCAGCCAGAGCCCTAGCACCGGCAGCAGTGAAAGCGAAGCCTCCTAGAGGGAACAGGAAGTGTTACATCTGCGATGCTCCACAGCATATGGCGAAAGAGTGTCCCCAGAGGCTCCACAAGCACACTGCAGCTTCAGCAATGGTAACTGCAGCAACGCAGCAAGGAGAACCACAGCAGGGAAACGACGGAGTCTGGTTGGAGGAAGAGGCACTGGGGCCCAGCCAGACGTGTCAGTGAAGCAGTCCCCAGAGATTTTACAGCCCATGGACCCCTCCCGCCCAAACCAGTAGTGAGGCTCACCGCGTCGCTCCAGCTGCCCAATGGAATCACCATGGACGTGCCAATCACCATTGACTCCGGAAGCAATGCGGACTTTATAGGGCAGGACTTTGTTGACCGGCACGCTATACAGTTGCTGCCTGCCACGCTGCCCCTGCAGGTTGTCACGGTGGATGGCAGGGAGCTGCTAGGGGGGCAAGTGGTGAAGCAGACGCCACCAATGGTGATGCGGCTTGGGAATCACAGGGAAATCATCAGCTTCAATGTCACTCAACTATCGGACACGCCCATTGTATTGGGCATGAGTTGGCTGGACAAGCACAGCCCGACGCTGGCTTGGTACCAGAGGCAGCTGACCTTCGGCTCTTCCTTTTGCGCTGAACACTGCATCGTGCCCCGGCAGGAAGGAGAGGAAGAGGAGTCACAGCTGCAGCTAGGCACGCTGCAAGCGGTTCCCCACAAGTACGCAGAATTTTTGGAGGTTTTCTGCGAGAAGGAGGCAGACAGGCTACCCCCACAGACCATATGACTGCAAAATTGACCTGCTGCCGGGGGCGGCGCTGCCCAAAGGGAAGCTGTATTCCATGTCTGAGGACGAACTGCAGGAACTCAAAGAGTTCATAGATCATAATTTGGAGCGCGGTTTCATCCGAGAGTCCAAGGCAGCGGGGGCAGTCCGGTATTCTTTGTTAAGAAGCGGGACACGCCCCAGAAAAGACTTGTAGTGGACTATCGCATTTTGAACAGCGTGACCAAGCCATCGGACTTCCCCATGCCCCGAATCGACGACCTCCTCGCAAAGGTACGGAAGGGCAGCGTGTTCACTAAGTTGGACCTGCGAGGGGCGTACAACCTCATTCGCATGCGGGAAGGAGATGAGTGGAAGACAGCCATGTTCACGCCCCTGGGCACCTACGAATATAGAGTTATGCCTTTTGGATTGCAAAATGGTTCCCACGTTTTCAAGCTTTCATGCATCACGTGTTGGCGGGGCTCCTCTACAAGACGTGCGTCTGTTTCTTGGATGACATCCTGATCTTTTCGGAATCGCAGCAGGAGCATGACAGACACGTCAAGGAAGTGCTGAGCAGGCTACAGCAACATAGGCTTTACGCCAAGCTGGAGAAGTGCCAATTCGACGTGACGGAGGTGGATTTCCTGGGCTACAAGTTGTCTGATAAAGGGCTCGCCATGGACAGCGCCAAGGTCCGAGCAGTGTTGGATTGGAAAAGCCCACGCAACCGGAAGGAGGTCCAACGGTTTGTCGGCTTTGCGAACTTCTATCGCAAGTTTATCAAAGGCTTTGCCATGCAGACAGCGGCCATCACGGACACGCTCAGCTCCAAGAAAAGAAGTTCATCTGGACAGAGCAGGCGGAGCAGTCCTTTCAGGCACTCAAGCGTCTCTTCGCGTCGGAAGAGCAACTGCTTCATGTCAACCCCAGCAGGCCGATGAGGGTGGAGACAGACGCTCGGACAGAGCCGTGGGAGCAGTCCTGCTGCAGAAGGACCCGCAGGGGGTTTGGAGGCCGGGAGCGTTTTACTCAAGGAAGCTCAGCAAGTCCGAACAGAACTACACCATCTGGGACAGGGAGTTGCTGGCCATTCATGCAGCGTTCAAAGCGTGGAGGCACTTCCTGATCGGCGCCAAGCACACGGTGCAGGTCTGCACGGACCACAAGAATCTAGAGCACTGGCGCACGGCACAGTTCCTGAACCAGAGGCAGATACGTTGGGCTGAGTTCTTTGCGAATTTCGACTTCCGAATAGAGTATGTCCCGGGGACACCAACATCATGGCGGATGCTCTCTCCCGTAAGCCGCAGTATCTGGAGGAGGCAACGCCAGCGGCCGCCATGCACATCTTCGCACCGACAGTGTGGGCGTGCACGGCGGCAACAGTTGACCTGGAGGCGGTGCGACGAGCGTTGCAGGATGACTCCTTCGCGCAAGCAAAGATGGCAGAGGCGCACAGGGGCACGGCAGCGACCGACGAGTTCCAGCTGCGAGATGGTTTGCTCATCCGTAAAGGGGCCATCTACGTGCCGGGAGACGAACTTCGCGCCAAGGTACTGCAGCAGCTGCACGACGCGCCCACTGCCGGGCACTTTGGCAAGGAGAAGACGGTGGAATTAGTAGCCAGAGACTTCTGGTGGCCAGGAATGAGAGGGAAGTCGCGGACTACGTGGCGAGGTGTGACACCTGCCAGAGGGCCAAACCAGTGCACAGACCGCCGGCCGGATTGCTGGAACCGCTGCAAACTCCGTTCGAACCATGGGAGAGAGTGGCCCTGGACTTTGTCACGGATCTGCCCAGCTCGAGGGGCAAGACGGCTGTGCTGGTGGTGGTGGACTTGTTCTCCAAGATGGCACATTTCATTCCGTGTGCGAAGGTGGCCACGGCGGAACAAACAGCCAAACTGTTCATAGACCACGTGTTCAAGGTTCACGGTCTGCCGCGGTCTATTCTGTCCGACCGAGGGCGACAGTTCATCTCGAACTTCTGGCAGAGGCTGATGGGCTTCCTGAACGTCAAGATCAACCTGGCGTCGGCTAGACACCCGCAGACCAATGGGCAAGCGGAGCGGGTCAATGCCATCATGCAGCAGTACCTGAGATGTTATGCGAATCAACAGCCTGCGACGTGGGTGGATTACCTGCCTCTCGCCGAGTTCGCCTACAACAACACGAAGCACGTGTCCACGGGGTCACGCCGTTCTTCGCCAACAACGGGAGGCACCCCAGAACCTTCCCGGGACTGGAAAGAATGGGGGAGGGGAGCCGCAGACAGCAGATGCATTCGCGTCGGAGTTGCAGGAGGTCCACGATCAGCTGCGGCGGCACCTGGAGCTGGCTAAACACGCATACAAGGTACAAGCGGACAAACACAGAAGGGTTGGCGAAGAGATCCATGTGGGAGACTGGGTCTGGTTAGCAGCCCACGCAGTGCCGGCCAGGTCGTTGGCGAAGAAGAAACTAGGGCATAAACAACTGGGGCCCTACCAAGTCGAAGAACAGGTCAACCCGGTGGCTTTCAGGCTGGCTCTTCCGGAGGGTTCCAGGATGCATCCGGTGTTCCACAGATCGGTGCTCACTCCATACAAGGCACCTCACAGGTTTCAGGAACCAGGAACGGCACCGGGTCCGCTCCGAGAGAGAACCGGGCAACGGGGAGTGGCACGGGAGGAGAGCATCAACGAAGCCACGGAGATTTTGGACTCCAGATGGGGGGAAGAGGGGGTAGAATACCTTCTAGCCAAGGAGGACACCCCGGCCAGTGCCAACAGCTGGGTGCCGGGCTACGCTTTAGACGAACCTCTGCTCAAAGAAGAGTTTCATGCCCTCTTCCCACATAGGCCAATGCCAGCAGACTTTTTTGACGACTGGCTTTTCACGCCCACGCTTTCAGCCAGCACGTTCCGGGGGTTCGACTCGGACGAGGAACCGACACGAGACGCCCGTTCCCCGGAGGGGTCGCCCTCGGGATCTGCTTCAGAACCCTCGTATTGGTGGGATGATCGACCAGAGGAGCAGTTCCGCAGAAGGTGGCTGGAGGGTCCAGGACGAGCAACGTCTCCAGAAGGTAACGAGGGGGAGACGGACATGGACGTTTCGGGGACGACCCGGGTTTCGAGCACGGCGGCACAGAGATGGAAGCGGAGGTGACCGTCGTCAACGAGAGCAGGGAGGAAGAACCGGAAGACTTCAGATGGCGGCCCGCCACGGGAAGCGAACTGTATCCGACATTCGTCCCCTGACACGGCAGCACCCAGATCCCGCACCGGAAGGAGGGGAGGGGGAAGAGGGGGCTTCGAGGGGGAGGGATGTCAGGGGTTCAGGAGCAGAGGCAAGGGCAAGGGAGGAAACAGAGAGCGAGGGGAGGAGGCAGAAGAAAAGGGGAGTGATGACGACGACCCGAGATCTCCGAGTCTTTCCAGTGAATCAGAAGATTCACAGAAAGGAGCACCAGTGGCCAGGGCAAGGGGGAGCCTAGGGGACGCCCCAGGAAGATAGAGCCAGAGGGGACTCAGAGGGGAGCAGTTGGAAATCGGGACCAGCGTCACCGCCAGAGAGCAGGGAAGAGGAAGGGAGCCAGCGATCAAGCGCTGGCAGCTCACAACAGGGGGGAGGGCACGAGTCAGGAGTGGCCACACCTCCATCGGGGAGCGAAGAAACGGTCAGACGGAAGGTGGAAGGTTGGCGCGCGCGCCCAAGTTCAAATGCACAGGAAGGTGGCACAGTAGGCAGCCCGGAAAGGGAGCCAGGTCCTAAAGCCCGCCGAAAGGAGGGAGAAGAGTCAGGGGGGTCAGCGTCAGCGTCAGCGTCAGAGGAATCCCGGAAAGAAGAGACCCCAGGGGGCAGAGGGACCCAGAGAAGAATAGTCAGGCGGAAAAGGTGGAGCAGGGCTAGGATATTAAGTTGGTGTACAAGGGGGGGAGACTCAGACGGAGCTTCGCCGGTCTAACCATGAGACGTAGAGTTGCACGCAGCAGTTTGAGAATGGAAACTGTAACTCAATAAAGACTTTTGTTTAATGATCGCTGGCTAGCGTGATCCTCTGTGAGCTAGGATCTGGAAGCAGCTCTGACATCAACTAATTCAAAAGAGCCAAACAAGAGTAGGCTGAGAAAGCTAATAGGATAAAAAAGGCCTTATAATTCCACGACGAAGAAAAATATAGGGCAAATCATACATGACTTAATTATTTTATATTTCAGTATATGTAGACGTAGACCATTATTGTCTTAGAAGAATGCGACATCCTACCCTGATCCTGATTGTTGCTCTACTAAAACTTAATTATAAGGATTAATACTGCCTTTGATTACATTTCTAGCATGTTTGAAAAAACAAGTAAAGCCCTAATTATTAAACTAATCAAAACAGTATTTAATAGATTATCAGATTGAGCATATGATTAAAATATTTTGCTTAATTATAATAAGATGCTTTTCATCTCCATAAATAAGTATTTTACAATATGGCTGTTCCAGGCTCTGGCCTGATGTTGTTATATGAAAATGTCTGCTATCTATTACAGACCAAGAAATCAACACTGTATGTAACAGGGATCAGAATATTATTTCCAATTACAGATAAGTCACTTGTTTTATGTTAAATAGTTGTTCTTCACAATCTTTCCTTTAAAGAAATTTTACTGAGCCAAACATGATACAATTTTTAATATTCTAAGGACAATTTTTGTATTCGTAATTTATATTTGCCTGGTGCCTTTGTTTCATATCTTCAGGTGCCGGACAAAAACATTCCTCTTTTGTCAGGCCTTTGACTAATTAAACAAACAGTGAGAGAGGTATTCCTTTTGTTTGTAACTGTGGTACATATTTTTGAGTTTTTATATTGCAGACGGCCTTGTGATTTAGTAAATAGCAACAATTATGATAATAATCAATTAGGCATCTAGCAAGAGTTTTTTTAGGAAAAGGCTACTTAAGCAGTAGGGACACGGGTGGGACGCGGGTGGCGCTGTGGGTAAAACCGCAGTGCCTAGGGCTTGCCGATCGCATGGTCGGCGGTTCGAATCCCCGCGGCAGGGTGCGCTCCCGTCGTTCGGTCCCAGCGCCTGCCAACCTAGCAGTTCGAAAGCACCCCCGGGTGCAAGTAGATAAATAGGGACCGCTTACCAGCGGGAAGTTAAACGGCATTCCGTGTGCTGCGCTGGCTCGCCAGATGCAGCTTGTCACGCTAGCTACGTGACCCGGAAGTGTCTGTGGACAGCGCTGGCTCCCGGCCTATAGAGTGAGATGAGCACACAACCCTAGAGTCTGGCAAGACTGGCCCGTATGGGCAGGGGTACCTTTACCTTTACTTAAGCAGAAGTTTTGAAACCACACCTTCCAGTAATACTATATGTGTAACTTGTTTTATGATTGTAGCTGGAGTAGAAGTTCCCAGTTGCCCTAAAAGTAAACACTACAATCCACACCAAGCTCCTCTGTGCGGAGGTAGTCCTGCTGATTACAATGAAAGCACCAGGTCATCGTTCACCGCCGTCATTCACTGAAATGGGTGTGGGCAATGAGATAAATACTGCAAAGAACAAAAATGTAAATGGTTCGCCATTTGGTACACAGGACAGAATCCTTTGCAAATTTGAAGGGGACGCAAGTTGTGCAAGAGCAGTTTAGTAAATGTTCCATGTATATTAGCATAGATAGATAGATAGATGATGGATAGAGATAGATAGATAGATAGATAGATAGATGATAGATAGATAGATAGATGATAGATGATGATGATGATAATAATAATAATAATAATAATAATAATAATAATAATAAATTTTATCTACATCCCGCTCTCCCCAGCCAAAGCCGGGCTCAGGGCGGCTAACAACAATAAAATAGTACAACATTCTAAAATCATTTTATTATAAAATTAATTCAAATCAAATTGATGACAACCATTAGACTAAAGTTCTGTGAAGATTGCCAAAGGAGGAAGTCAGGCTGTGCCCTGACCAAAGGCCTGGTGGAACAGCTCTGTCTTGCAGGCCCTGCGGAAAGATGTCAAGTCCCGCAGGGCCCTAATCTCTTGTGACAGAGCGTTCCACCAGATTGGAGCCACAGCCAAAAAACCGCTGGCTCTAGTTGAGGCCAGCCTAACCTCTCTGTGGCCTGGGACCTTCAGGATGTTTTTGTTTGAAGACCATAAGTTCCTCTGTGGGACATACCAGGAGAGGGTATGTCTCTGTGGGACATACCAGGAGATAGATATAGAAATATATATATAGCTAAAATTTTAAGCATGTACAGGGCCGTCTTACCCATAGGCGCCCTGGGTGCAGGGCACCCAGGGCGCCAGGCTCTCAGGTATGCCAGGCTGAGAGTCCGGGGCCCAAGAGTTGAGTCCAGGGAAGCCTGCCCATCAGTCAGAGTGCTGTGGCGGGCTCTTCTCCTGCAAGTGGCTCTGAGCCGTGAGTTTGGGGGCAACTGAGCCAGCGAGACGCTGAGGCAGCCAGCTGGCTCCGCCCTCCTGCATGCCTGAGACTGGGCATCCGGGGGGGGGCACCGGGCGGATCTCTGCACCCCGGCGCAGCATTTACTAAGACAGCCCTGAGCATGTATAATTTTAACAAAGTTTATTTAACCCCTTTCCATCAGTGTAGATCATTAAACAAAGCACATTTCCCTGACAAATTGGAAGGCCAAGGTAAATTTGTCCATACCGAAGGCTAAGTGCCTCTGAAAAAAGGACATAAAGTTCCAGTCACAATCTGCTCTTTTCTTTCCAGAGCAGACCTCAAAAACCAACTCACTGTGTCCAGAGTTGGGTGCATGCTGGTGGTGGAGATTGTCAATGCTTTGCTAACTAAGTTAATAAAAATATAGCAAACTGATTCAAAAGTGTTCTTTTCTGCCCAAAGGCAACTTTTATCTTTTCTGTTAGCTTTTCGCTATCTGCCGTACCCTTTGGTATCACTGATCTACATTCACTCCTTGATTTCCCCCCATTACACACTATCACAGACCTTGTGCCTGCTGTTAGTGGATTCAGTGTCTATTATTCAAGTCTGAATCAAGGCGTGTGTTTATGTGTGCATGAGCATCAATTGCGGAGAAGGGTGGGTCTACTGACCTGTAACAGAGCTGGCTTCCTGAAACATCAGTATCCAAAAAGTGTGAAATCAGGAAATGCCCAATACATGCATATCTACATCCCAGTCTATTACCAGCCCTGTCAACATGCAGGAGACATTCCAGGGCACATTAGGGACAATTTCCTTGTATAACAAATTTATGGACTGCTCTTTCACTTTATATTTTTATAATGTTGTTTGTACCACCTCCAGTTCCGGTTCTCTATTTCAAACGTAATATCCCATTCCTTTCCTCACATAGGTCTTGTGAAATCTTTAGGGCCTGTCACTGATTCCTAGACCCAGCTATAAATGCTGAAAGCCAGACCCCTAGTTATCCCAGCGTAATCCAGGATTTCTTTTTCAAACTGTGTTAATTGTCTGGTAGCAGCCTACTTTATTGCTGGCTTGGATGTAAATTAATGTACTTGAGCCCAGAACAACCAAGTAGAAGAAACTATGTCCTATATTCTTTTCAATGTATCAACAGTGAGCAATCTACTACGCTTGCAGAAATCCCAAAGTCTGTAAAGACCTTTGGAGCATCAAGTGAAGCCTATAAATATATTTGGAGCACAGAAGTAAACTCCCCAGATTTAGCAGGGCGATATGCTACAGGGACACGGGTGGTGCTGTGGATTAAACCACAGAGCCTAGGGCTTGCCGATCAAAAGGTTGGCGGTTTGAATCCCCGCGATGGGGTGAGCTCCCATTGCTCAGTCCCTGCTCCTGCCAACCTAGCAGTTCAAAAGCACATAGTGCAAATAGATAAATATGTACCGCTCCAAGCGGGAAGGCAAATGCATTTCCGTGCGCTGCTCGGGTTTCACTATGGTCTAAACCACAGAGCCTAGGGCTTGCCGGTCAGAAGGTCGGCAGTGTCAGGGGTCCCTTTACCTTTATGCTATAGAAATTAAAGGTGACAGAGTGAGAATAAGTATTCCAGTCCAAATTTTACAACCTTTGAAAATGGTCAGTATTAAATGTTTTGCTATCCAATCCAAGGACTTGAATCTGTGTTTCCAAAAGGAACACACATATGACCTTCCTTGCTGGCTACGTCAGTAGAGCATGGTTCATGGGTTCAAGCCCCATTGCAAGGGTTGGACTAGAAGACCCTTGTTGTCCCTTACTACTCCGCAATTCTATGATTCTATATGTGGAGCCCTCCTTAGAAAGATAGACTCCAGTTGAACCCAAAACCTAGAGTCACCCGAAATAAATAGAAAGGACTGTAAACTTTTCCAATATGCAGTTACAGCGGCGAGAATATTAATGGCCCAAAGATGGAAACAGGAGGAACTACCGACCCTGGAAGAATGGAGAATGAAAATGATGGACTATGCAGAACTAGACAAATTAAGATTAGATATCAACGAGACCATAAGTTCATCGAGGACTGGGGAAAATTTGTAGAATATCTGAAAAATATATGTGATGAACAAACAACGTTCATGGGATTTCAAAAAGCTCTGTGAAAAGTTGAAGAGTATTGTAAAAAAGAAAATAAGATTAGGAAGGCATATAAAAAGGCAGTATTAAATCTAGGAAATGCGTAACTAAAATTTAATTACGGATGATTGGCAGATAAGCTGAATGAACTCCATAATATATAATTTGTGATAAGCCTTTTATATGGTATTATATGTATATTGTATTGAAAATTTATATATATATATATATATATATATATAACCTAGTCACCCTTCTCCATGAAAGCGACTATGTGTTTGATTTCATTAGCCATATGGTAGCTTTCCAAACGGTGTTCTTCACATACCCCTCCAGAGGAAGGCATATGTAACAAAGAATGTTGAATTCTGGAGGGGTTGCTACAATATGTAAATATTTATTTTCTTTTGTTAATGTTGCAGTGGCTGTTTGGGCACCCCAATTGCGTCACAAGGTTTTGATGGTTACTAACCTATCTAATGTATAGTGGCTTTGCTTCTTCCACACAGCCACATCCCTACCTATGGTTTTCCAAAAATTTAAATAAGTTATATACAGTATATTATTTAAATATATGGTAATCTGTATCTGTAGGTAACAGACACTGGAGCAGCAAACTGGAATATGCAACATGTAGGAGAGTTACATTCAGATAATGTATCATGTTTTATTTCAGCCTGAGCATTTGAAAAAGAGCCCTACAATTGTTAACCAATTTTGCTTTAAGGCAAGTGTAAATTAACAATGCAAAATTAAAAAAGGAGATGATATATAGCACTGTGTCAAATGCAAGCAATAATGTACAAAAATAACCAATGCACAATATAAATACGAGCCCTCTACATCCACTAACTGTTATTATTTTCCTTCTCAAGCCATTATAAAGTGAACTTTTCTATCTTCCCACCCAACTGTTCAGTATTTATGTTCCAATGGTGCCATCACATTATCATATACAGTTAAAACAATTAATTAACAAGGAGCCCTGGCAGCATTAATCAAATTACTAATGTCAGTGCACAATCAGTTGAGGGTACAGCAAAATACCTATTAAACAAAACTATGAGAATGTATTCGGATTTTTTTTTTTAGCAGATGGAGAAATGAAAATTACATTGTAAACAGTACAAAAAGCAAAATATGTCACCTGCATAATGACATATTTATGTTTGTGTCTTTCACTGAATAATATGTCGGGGTATGAGCTAAATTTATTTATAAAAATCCTTTAACTCTATTAATCATTTGCAAGAGCATATGGAAAAATGAAAATGCATCCTGTTTAGAATTTTAAATAAAAAACAATCAAAGGTAATCCTTAAAATTAGGCTTCAGATTAGTCTCTTCAAAGGATGCAGTTCAACTGAAACATCTGGTAGTGTTATGTTGAGAGACAGACCTTTTTTAACTTTGGAAATGAGATTAGTAGATCAGTTATTTGTAAGTGTCCAAGTAATTTCTAATTATTTTATCTGGGTCACAGATAATCCGCTTTTACTGGCCTCCCACAATGACATCAGAGGATCACTGCTTAAGTGATTATCCTGTTACCTTCCAGCAGCCACTGGGAAGCTGGATTTTCCATTTGTACACACGGAGAAATGGCAAAATGCTCCAGACAAGTGGTGTGTCCAAATCAAGACCGAGAGTTTGGTAAGAAAACATTCTGTTTGCAAACCACTGGCAAATCAAACAGCAAGAACATTACCCTAAATTCCAGTCACCTGAAAGAAAAATGTTATCTTGCACAACTCACATTCTGTGATTGCATAATATAGTACATGTTTACCATTCTAAATTATCACTCACTTAATTCAAGTTACTAGAAGGTGTGTCAGTAATTAATGACATGATGGATGCATGTACATATTCATACAAAACAATAATTCAACACAGATGAATGATGGTAACATATACTGATGAGCTTAGAACAAGAACTGAAAGTTAGCATACTAGGAAATTATTTCACCAGCCGTGAATGCCTAAAATCAGAAGCAAATGTACTCCATTTGAAAGTTTCTCACTGACCCACCTGGATGAGGTTTGCCAGATACAGATCAAGGGATCTAACCAAACCAACAAAACAAGCATGAAAATAAAAGGACGGGAACCATAAGGCAGTCATTGGGTCTTGGGAATGCATCAAAATTCCCATATAGCAACCCATGCACTTTGGTTGATATTAGTTTCCAAAATCTTTTCGGGACATGGATAATAGGAGCATGGATTTGGAGTTTTCCTAAGACATATTCCTATTATGTTTAAATATCATTTTTTTTATATGTTAAATCAAGTATTTCCATTTTTTCAACAAAATACTGAGTCTTCGTGTCACCTTTGACACCTATGTGTAATTCTTTCAGTACCATTCTATTCCAAAATCTCTCTGTGTGAAATCTAAGACAAATAAGTCTATTTCCTGTTGTCCTACCAGGGCATTGGTCCAGCTCCTCAAAATAGGAGGCTTGTCATGCTAATCATGGCTTAGTGCAAAGCAAACAAGTCAGCTAGTTGTTCTAAAGCAAACCATGGCTTACTGCAAAGGCTACTCCGGAGGAGACTGCAGTCACTTTTGCTCCTCCCAAATCTTTCTGCTGCTGCACTGTGCTAAGCTGTGACTTTGCTTAGCACGTTGTCCAAATGCAAGCTTGTGGTTTATCTCTCTATCCAGCCTTACCACAAGCTGTATACAATTTTGTCCTCTGGTTTACACAGCTCATGCCAAGACCCAAGAGAGCTAAAACCATGCGCCTGTTGTTCAGAAGACACACTGAGCCAGGCATAGGCAAACTCGGCCCTCCAGATGTTTTGGGACTACAACTCCCATCATCCCTAGCTATCAGGACCAGTGGTCATGGATGATGGGAGGTGTAGTCCCAAAACATCTGGAGGGCCAAGTTTGCCTATGCCTGCACTAAGCCAAGTCACTGGCCGAGCTTAGCAGCAGAAAGACCAGGATGGAGAAAAGTAGTATAGATCTCCTCTCCTGGAACACATGTTGGCTTAGTGTGACATGTGGATCAGGCCATTCCCCATTTGGATCATTGCAATATATATATTACTATTTTTCCCAGCTTTAATTTTTGTTCGAAATGTAACGTTGGTTTAACGCCTGTGTCACAACAGTTATGACATCTCCTCACAATAAGGTTTTCTTCCACTGATTCTAGACTTTGCTACTCTTTATCTCCCTGTTCTCACCTTAAACTATTCCTTGCAGTCATGCTCCTTTCTAGTTCCATTCCTCGATACTTTCCATCAGTCTTCCCTTTCCCAGGATGTTCTCCCACCCCATGTTCTCTGCAGTGGCTCCCCATCTGTGGAATGCTCTCCCCAGGGAAGTTGGCCTGGTGCCTTCATTACACACCTTTAGGCACCAGGCAAAAATGTTCCTTTTAAACCAGGCCTTTGGTTAGTCTGATTTACATTCTATGCCCTTACATTCTATGTTTTTTTGGGGGGGGGCAGCTATTGGGTTATTGTTTTTATTTTTATTATATATATTGTGGTTTTATATCTTGATTTTATTCCGTAAACTGCCCTGAAATCGCTGGGTATAAGGTGATATATAAATTCGATAAATAATAATATTTTAGGCCCCAGTTATTTTTTCTTCTACATTTTTTTTTAAGAGCAGCTTTCCCATTTCTTATGCAAACATTAAAAATCACACAATTACCATTTTTATTTTACTTTCACGACTATTTGAGTGAGAACTGATAGGACAATTAAATGAGATGAAGGGAGATCCCGGCTTAAATTTGTTGAGTTCCATTTTAGCGGCAGATGCACACACATCTGTTTACTATTGGATTCTAATGCATTATTGCATATTGTTTTATTTGGTAAAAGTTGTTTTTTTTAAAGTTGTTGTGACTTTTTATCTAGGATCTGATTGTTACTATTAATGTTTGATGTTTAATTTGTGTGTGTGTGTGTGTGTGTGTGTGTGTGTGTGTGTTGGAAGCCGCCTAGAGTGGCTGGGGCAACCCAGCCAGATAGGGAGGGTATAAATAAAATAAAATATAAAATAAAATAAAATAATAAAAATGCCAATTTTATATACCAGGCTTGTGTCACTGCAGAAGGGCATAAGCCAATTGTCTTCATACCACTTTCCTGGCTGAAACTGCCCACCGTCCCCACACTATAATTTCCCCCAACTCCCCATTGCTACAATTCTGATCCAAATCATCTCCACTATCCCACTCTGTGGCTCCATTTGCCCTATGGAAAAAAGAAAAAGAAAAACCCAGTTGCAAATCTCCGATGATCTTGTCTGGTTGTGTTTTGAGTGTACCTCAAGTTCTTATATTTGTTGATATTTTGCATTATAGATTGTGTCTGGTAAAGAATTACTTGTTTTTATTCAAGATACAGCTTAGCATACTTTTAAGCACTTAGACAACAACATGCACAGGGGGAAAATGTTATTCTGAAGGAAAGAATAAAATACTTACATTGAATATACCAGTCAACTGAGTATAAAAGAGTCCCGTAATTCCAATCAGCATTATTAAACCCATGAAGGTAGATATTCTTATCAGGGCAAGTTCATGTCTAAATACAAATATATCCTGTAAATAAAGAAAAATAGAAACCATTTTTAGCTGTCTTTTGCATATAAGAAATACAATTAAAGTGAAATTTACTTTTTTTTGTTGCATACTGTTTCACTCAGCATCAAAGTTTTGAAATATATACAGACCAATGAAGGATAACAAAGTTTGGCCTTTTAATGCAAGAGTAAGTCTTTGAATTGGCACCCAATCTCAAATCTGAAACAACAGATCTCATATTCGTTCCACAAAATTTACAGCATATCAAACTATTAGCAAGTTAGAAATGGATGGGCTAAAAAAAAAAGGGTTCTGTCCTCTTCAGGTTCAAATTGTTCTACTATTTCAATTTTCTCTTTCTTCCTACAAAGCCCTTCTAGAGCCACATTTGCCAGTCAGGTACTACTGGTGTGGAAAGGAAATGGTAGCTTTACAAAGCCCAGTATACACAGCTGTGCAAGCAAAGGTCATGTCAATATGTAGGGCATGATCACCTGAGAGTATTTCTCACTCTTTGCATGAGCTAGGTGTACTAAACTATATGAACTAAACATGCACTTTTGAAAGGGTCCATGCAGACAGACTCATGCTTTTTTAACTTATGGAATAATGGAGAGCTGTGTTTATAAGAATGCAGAGAACAGACTGTCCCTCACATCAAGAGCATAAATCTTGACTAGCTTGTGGACTGGTGATGGAAAACAAATTTTCTAAGAAAACTACTGTGGCCAAAAGCTGCAGTTAAAATCAGGCACCGGAAGAGGCACTTATAGAATCATAGTGTTGTAGAGTTGTAAGGTAAAGGTAAAGGACCCCTGGATTGTTAAGTACAGTCAAAGGTGACTATGGGGCTGCAGCGCTCATCTGGCTTTCAGGCCAAGGGAGCAGGTGTTAGTCCACAGGCAGCTTTCCGAGTCATGTGGCCAGCATGGCAAAATCACTTCAATGGCACACCGCGACAGAAGCCAGAACGCACGGAAATGCCGTTTACCTTCCCACTGCAGCGGTATCTATTTATCTACTTGCACTGGCATGCTTTCGAACTGCTTGGTTCGCAGGAGCTGGGACAAAGCAATGGGAGATCACCCCGTTGTGGGGATTCAAACCGCCAACTTTCTGATGGGTAAGCCCAAGAGGCTCAGTGGTTTAGACCACAGAGCCACCCCAAGGTCCAACCCCCTGCAATGCAAGAATCTCAGCTAAAGCATCCATGGCAGATGGCCATCCAACCTCTGCTTAGAAACCTCCAAGGAAGGGGAGTCCACCACCTCCCGAGGGAGACCATTCCACTGTCAAACAGCTCTTCTCAAGCTACAGAATGTCAGTTAAGTACAACCTGCTCTACACTTCCAGATTCTATATTCCCAATTCATTCTCACTGAATGACTCACCCCCCTGACACCTACAGAGAATGAGCAAAAATTTATGCACACCAAACAGCTTTGTGCTTAAAGGGAAACTAAGTAGCAAATAGCAGAAGAAAAGTTTTGGATGAACAGTATTCCACAAAGAGAAATTGGAGCAAGCCAAAAGTGGCACATCACTGAGAGCTTAAGGGCAAGATCAGTCATATATACCAGGCCACCTTGACTACTCTTCATCTGCCACAGCAAAGTACAGTGGTACCTCGGTTTACAGATGCTCCAGGTTACAGACGCTTCAGGTTACAGACTCTGCTAACCCGGAAATAGTACCTCGGGTTAAGAACTTTGCTTCAGGATAAGAACAGAAATTGCGTGGCTGTGGTGCGGCGGCAGTGGGAAGCCCCATTAGCTAAAGTGGTGCTTAAAGTTAAGAACAGTTTCAGGTTAAGAACAGACCTCCGGAACGAATTAAGTACTTAACCCGAGGTACCACTGTACAAGTCAGTGAGAATACATTTGCCCAGGCTGAATACAGGGAGTGACCGATTTGCACCGGTCCAATTGACGAGTGATCACATGCATGCTTGGCACTGCCGACTCAGAAGTGGCCCCCAAATGGGGCAGGGTTATGCACGTTCCACCCAATGCACACGGGGGTCAGGAATGGAACCCCCACCCAAAATGGTCACTATCTGTACTGCAAAGCTAAGACCAGAGTCTTAACACCCTGTCACACTGACACACTGTCAGAAGTACTAATGAAGGCACACCTCCTGGCCTTTGACATCTGAGGTGTGTATTTTCAGGACTCAGCCTATTCCTGTGACTTTACTGTTTCTGAATTTTAAATTGTTGCAACTAAACCTGGGACCTACTGGTGAAGGTAGGCTGGCAATACTACTGCTGCTGCTGCTGCTGCTACTACTACTATTCTGTGAACCGCTGTGAGACCCCCGGGTATAGGGCGGTGTATGAATTCAATAAATAATAAATACCACTACCACTACTACTACTATGAGTAAGAATAATGCACTCCTATTGAACCACTTGCTCCTGCCAGAGGAAGACTTTGCAAATTTCAGCAGCACCCTTTCCAAGGCCAAAATTCTGTACTCCCCTGCCTCTTGCCTTCTGATCAATCTACTACATCATAGTTGTGACATCATAGAACTGGTCCCTCTGCCCTAAATCCACCTCTGCTCCTGCTTTCTTGCAGTACAAGCCACACCTTAGCTCCCATGCATTGTCAAAACAGGAGGCACACTCTTCATACCGTTTCGATTTTTAAGCATTGGCTATATCACATTATAAATCGTTGCACTTGCGTTTCTATTAGTACTATATAGCTCCGTGATGATGCCACACACCCCAGTCTGAGTACTTTTAAGCAGACAAGTGGATTATAAATAAATATCATCTAGATTCCTCAGTACAGCCTAACCCAAAAGGATTGCAATATGAACCATTAATTTATTATATATTTAACAAGAAGAAACATGCCCTAAATCCTAGATACAATCACAAGGGAGTATAAGCACTCATGTATCTTCCCTAACATATGGCTGTACATATTCCAAGATATGTTTGCTCGTGTGAACATGCAAAAAAGGGTGGTGGTGGAATCACCTACATTCAACCCAAGGAATGATTCAAAAACATGCAACACGTCCTTAAAATATAATACAAGAAGCTGACCATAGTCATGGGCTCTCAACTGTTACCACTTGAAATCCCAGATTGAACACTTCCCTTTGAAGGGTGCTTAAAAACAACAACACTCATGTGCACACCCATGATGTTTTCACATGATCTAGTTGATTGGTCTAAATGGATTTGGAAAAGGAGTAGACCTGGTGTGGACTATGGCTTCCACCAGCCCTGACAAGTAGCATATGGAGATTCATGAAATTTTCTGAAGTTAAGAAGGGGTCCTCGTATTTGTAAAGGTTAGGAAGCACTGGATTAGAGATTTCCTTCCTCAAACCAAATCAACGTATTTTCCTCCCATATAGTCAGGATGACCACACTGCTTGTCTTAACCTACAAACCAGACGCTGTGGTTTACAACCAGATCTGGCCAGTTTCTCAGCAAGTCAGATTCAAACCAGGGGGCAGGAAGTTGCCTTGTTTGGCTAACCAGTGTTAGCATGGGTCCCTGATCTGCACTAAACTCTCCTGAAGCTCTCCTCTTGGCTGTGTGAGTCCAAGGATTTCAGAGGTTCTTTCCTGCTCATCCATGCAGTGCTGCTGGTGCCAAATCAAAGCCATCTCCCGCTGAACTTATGGATCTACACCAAAAAATATTTGGGAAAGAGTGCAGGCGCAACTTGCTTTTCTGCACAGTTAAAAGTTGCTTCAACTGGCCAGTGTCAGGGCACAACCCAGTGTGGTATAGTGGTTAAGAGCGATAGACTCGTAATCTGGGGAACCGGGTTCGCATCTCTGCTCCTCCACATGCAGCTGCTGGGTGACCTTGGGCTAGTCACACTTCTTTGAAGTCTCTCAGCCCCACTCACCTCACAGCGTGTTTGTTGTGGGGGAGGAAGGGAAAGGAGATTGTTAGCCGCTTCGAGACTCCTTCAGGTAGTCATAAAGTGGGATATCAAATCCAAACTCTTTTTCCTCTTCTTCTACAATGTAGAGGATCCACTGTAGAGGAGGTCTGATGCCACTTGGCATATTATCATTCCAGCAGATTTAACAAGACACAAAATGTACAGAGATGGAGACCCATGCTAGCCACTCTTGCTGTAAGCTGGTCAAGTACATGATGTTGTTTTCATACTTTCTGGAAAGCACAGCACTCCCTGGGAAAAGTTATACCTGTCAGATACGAAATAAGCTATCCTTTCTGACAGTGGCCAGGACACAAAAACCAACAGTCCCTTAATAGATTTGTGCAGTTCCTTTTTAGCTCTTGTAGTAACACTGCTCCTCCTACTGGAGGAAAAAGTACATTATCTGCAGCCTACTAAACGAATGAGAGAATACATATTATACTTTTAAGGACTTCAGTTTTTAAATACTTAAGTTTTTATCCTGCAAAAAAAATAAATGGTTCCTGTGGATCATGCAAATAACAATCTCTTTCAGATGAAATTAATGGACTATGCAGAATTAGATAAATTAACAGGAAGAATTCGAAACCAGAAATTCACGGAAGACTGGAGTAAATTTACGGACTATTTGAAAAGTATTTGTGAAGACCAGATGACGTTTGTAGGTTTACAAGAAGTTCTGTGAGGAGTATTATTGGAAGTATTGCAGAAATTGATAAAGTAAAGGATAATTTGTTAAGAGACTTAAAGACAATATAAAGTTAAGAAATGTATAAGAAGTGGATGAAACGGTGGATTATCAGAGGTGCTGATGGAAGTCTAAAAAGATTGTATAAGTGATATGTTTTGTGGTACATTTTATAATTTATATGTTAAAATCAATAAAAATTATTATAAAAAAGGAAAATAACAATCTCTTTCATTAAATTAAATCTTATTCAGTAGCTTAAAAAGATAAAAAAAGTATAAGGAACTGAAATGCCCTATGGGTATCAGTCAGAGAAGATGGGGTCGATAAAAATAAATGCTTAATCTTAGATTTAATTTAAGTGAGGTTTTACAAATTGCAATACAGTTAAATGCTAGTTTCATTCAGGTTTTTTTTTAAACGAGCAGAAGGCAGATAAGTCATTAACAGTGTGATCCTACAACCTACAGTAAGTATGTGGATCTGTGACAACCTTTGTACCTGTGCATCTTCCTGTCATCATTAGCATTATGGAAAAGCTAAGCATTCACAAGAAGCAGTTGTGCCAGTGCAGTTGCTTTGGATCAAATTCTTAGAAAACGTACAAGACACAAAAAACATCTATTCAATGCAGTGGACATATTCTACTGCAAAACGTTGACCGTACTAAGCTATTGTCTTAAACTGTACGTAGTTTTTATAGAACAATTAAATGGATTTTGCTTGCTGTTTGTGTCCCTTAGTGTCAAACAGCAGAATGAGTGATTGGGTGGCACACATTTATGGGGGATATCAAATCCTCAGCTACACAGTCAGAAATGAGCCAAATAGTACACTCATGTCATTTCTGAAGCTGCAGATCTGGCTGAATTCCCATATATTTTTCACTCAGCGACCAATTCTGCAGATTTTTTTTTTTTATTGCGGCTATCAAATCATCTGAACCAAATCATTTGCAATATGCAAACAACACTGAATGCCAAAGGCGTGATTTTTTTTTTGGAAGCAAGAGGCTCTCAAAACATCAAAATCTATAATTTGGGACCTATAATCAGTTTAAGATATCAGTTGAGATATCAACAAGAGTTTTGCCCACATATGCAGACCCTCTGTTTCTCCCTTTGTGCGATCAATGATTAAACCAATAAATATCTAATAAACCATAGTTTCACAACACTCTGAACTGCAAAAGTGTGGCCACTAGCTTTGGAAACAGTCAGGATCTTAAACCATGGTTTTAAGTTGGTTTAAAATCCTAGTTTGCCCAAAAGCTGATAGCTATGATAATAAAGCACATTAATCTCCTGAGGTCCTTATCTGTGTTCCCATCTCTAAAAGATGACATTTCTCCCTTGATCATTTTCCTCATACATAAAAAATTGTTTTCAAAAGCTGATATATTCCATTCTTTAATATTGCACCTCTCTATCGATTTTGTAGGCAATGCCTACACTGTGCTCCTTATCCGTGAGGTCCTTTATGCTAGAGCCCAAGGTCCTGTAAAAATACATGTCTGCAGGGCCAGATTTAGGTCTGATGAGGCCCTAAGCTACTGAAGGTAATGGGGCCCTTTATGTGTCCAGCTGTCCTTTGTCAACAACAAATTGTCGCTGTTTTCTGTGTTGAATATATGCTATATGGTAATTTATGGACCTAATAGGTATCTAAAGCCATTTGCACATAACAAAATATGTATTTTATCAAAGTAATTGTTGAACTGAAATACAATTAAGAAAAAGTATATTAAAACACTGTTGCTGTATGAAGGTTTTATTTTATTTGTTTTTAATTTTATTTGTTTTTTATCTTATATTTTAGAAATGTACATCCAGGGCTTTCTTTCCTTTAAATTTTTTTGGGGCCCACAAGAGAGTGGGGCCCTAAGCTATAGCTTGCTTAACTTAAACGTAAATCCAGCACTGCATGTCTGACTTCTAGACCACTTTTTATCTGGGGAATATAACAACCCCAAAGACTGTACGTTCCTGGGAGAATATACGCTCATAGTTCTTCATGTATATGACATCCTTCATCAGGGTGGTTCAACATTTGGCTCTTAATACTTGATATGCCTCTGAGCAAGTACATGTCTCCTGAAGAGGTCTTAATTCGGTAGGACACTATGAACATTACATATGTGAAGGAAGGTGTTAACACTCAGATTCTGCCAACCCATCCCCCCCAAAACCAGACTTGCTTACATCTGTGTAAACACCCAGGTTGCCACATCTGGAGAGCTTGGTCATTGGTATGCCCTGATGTTATGTTACCTAGGCATTTAAAGGTGCTCAAGTATATCTCCAAGCTGGTATGGAAAAGAACAATGTGTACCATTGGTGTACATGTAACCATTGTATTTCCTGCATAACATGTGATAGTTGGCCCAACACTAATGTTGTGTATTTTATTTGTTGTGCATTTTGTGCATTTTGTATTTTAACATTGTATTGTGGTTTTGAACAGCTGTAAGGTGCCCTGAGTGGCACCAGAAATGCATATAAATAATCATATATAAATATATATATATAAATAAACAAAACTGTTGTGTGTAAATGCAGTTTAGAATTGTCAGGCCTTAGAATCAATGTCAAGGGTCCACATTGCTTTATTTTCTCCCTATAGATTCGCTATAGATACCTTCAAAAGCCTTTGCATTTTGCAGCAACTTGCTGGTTTTGTAAGAGCTATTGTCGGGTGTTTGGCCCCTCCTCATTTTCCTATTTGCTAGATCGATGGAAAGAAATCCATACATTTACATATGTCAAACCAAATTCACATCTCTACCATAGAATGCAAGAACAGGTAAAACACACACACACACCCTTATCATACAGTTAACTATGAATGATAAACTGTGATTATGTTAACATTTATCCACATCTTGCAAGCATAATTTTTTTCTTACCCAATTAACTTTTTTTAGTGGTTCAAAGTAATAACAGTGGCAGAAATCAAGTAGCAGCGTATAAGAACTGAGAAGTTCTGTGTAGAAGCACAGCTGCAAAAACAGCCAGTGATTATCTTCACCAACGCAGTTATTAATCCTGCAGAAAACAAGTGTAAACACACACAATGGAGCATTAGTCGCTTTCTAAATTTTAACAATGAAATAAGCCTTTCAAGCCAAACCAATGACCTACCAGTTGGGGACAGGGCAGAAGGGAAAATGTTCACCACTTATCTCTTTGTACTTTCATTCCTCATCTATCTCTGTCCACAGTCTTCAGCTGTACGTTTCTATTAGTCATCTTGGCTTTTTACACACCAAGGCAATGTGGCTTTTGGTAAACAGGGGAATTTGAGGGAGACACATTCTTCCACTCTTTATCTAACATTCTTAGTATAAAAGTAGGGGGTGAAGATTCTGTACTAAATTTTGCTTTGCCTTTATAACTAGAATCACCACATAGGACAGGTTGAGTGAATGAATGAATCTTTATTTGAGACAGCCATTGGCCATAGCAATAAAACAACAATACGATATACAAAGAATAGAAATAAAAAGTCAATTATATAAAATACATTTTAGGGTTTTGAATCAATAGTCCAATAGTGGATCTTGTTCTGATTGCCCCAGCTAAAAACCTTGCAACCTTTGCTGTCACCTTCTCATCCTGATCTGCCAAGAGAAAGGACACTGTGGCAGTGGTTGGGCGACCCAGAATGTACAATAAAAGAGGGGTGATAATCTCATTCCTCAAGTCTTTATAAAGAGTGCAGGCCAGAAGGGCATGCACCACTGATTTGGTACTGCCATCTCCACAGGGACATAAGCGTTTTTCGTGTGGAATCTGTTGGAATTGTCCCTCAAGTACAGCCGAGGGCAATACATTCAATCTTCCGAGAGTAAAGGCGCATCTATATTTTAGAATTGCTAGGTTATGCAGATAGGGTGCCAGAGAGTCGAAATGAGAAGGTGGAAAATAGCCATACCACGGGTTTAGATGGGTTTAGATGATCATATATTGACTCAATAAGATATGAACAAGCCTTTTGCCTGCTCTTGCAATCTCTTCTCTCCTCCTTTTCATAGCATGCAGTGATTAAACATGGAAGTCTCCAATTAACCACAGTTACCCTACCGGTGAACGATGATTAACAGGCTCAGAACAACCTGCCATCTTAACTCAACCTCAAGCCATGTTTCAAAATCCTGGCTCGTAAGCATAGTTTTCCTGTTTAGATTATAGCTTGGTCAGTAGAGCATCTCAGGGTGGTGGGTTCATGCCCCACGATGGGCGGAAAGATTCCTGCATTGCAGGGGGTTGGACTAGATGACGCTTGTGGTCCTTTCCAACTCTACAATTCTTTTTTTTAATAATATTTTTATTGTTTTTTACACATATCTTCCAGTATCACATCTCATGAACATCAAATCAAATCTCTGGCTATCACAGCCTAAGACTTCCTTCAACCCTGTCTAATGGTTTTCTAAAATCATTTCTAATTCTGCATTTTGTTACTATAATTATTGCTATAGATCCAAATCCTAAATAAACACATACTTAATGCCTTTTGCAGTAATTTATATGATTCTTCTTACAAAACGTCTTGTAACCCTACAAGCGATTCCATACAATTCTATGACTCTATGAAATGGGAAGCCATGGTTAACTGGAAACATCTGGGTTTCGTTGCTGGTTTATCATAAAGGGAGAAGAGTAAAGGTTGAGTGCATGAGCAAATGCTTATATGGATCTTGGCATGGTATTTTGAAACAAAATTATATTCTAGTATTAATGATCCATTTCCAAAGCTTAATTTTGAAAGCCAACATTTACACCTTGAATCCTAAAGTCACTTTGGGGGGGGGGCTGATGTTTATGGTGATATCATCACTGTGAAATATGCAGCTATTGGGAAACAATGACAAACAATGATTACATTAGCAGTCAGTGTGCCTATTTAGGATGTGGCGAGGCAATCAACTTACCACGGGCAATGATGATCCATTTTCCTAACACAGTGCCCACATCGACTGCAGTGGTGGGAACGCTTTGGTCTCATCATATTACATTTATTACATAATTCCCAAAAGTCTCTTTCTAAAGAAAGAAAATGCAGAGTCGGTTATTACAAACTCTCCCCTTCCCCAGAATTGCCATTATGTTTTTGCTTCTTTAAGACCCATAAAGTCTTAGTGTAGTTGATGATTTTACAGGAAAAGAAAGGAACGTATAAAAATGTCCCTCGTTTGCATCCCGATAAGCCAAAACGTACCAGGTGTTTTAGAAGACCACTGTGATGGCTACAAAAGAGGAAAAGTACAACACCCCCCTTAATTTAATCAAAGCATATACAAGCTTTCAGTTTCACAGAACTCTTCATCATGCAAAATGGAATGCCCACAGAATTTTAGGTAATGCAGTCTATAGAATTTACAAACATCAGAAGATGTCTTATACGGAGTCAAACCAATGGCCCATCAAGCAATCTGTTGTGTCCAATGCAATATGCTGTGGTGGGTGCTTGTTTGAGAGGTGCCTATGACAGTTTCTCTGGTTTGTGAAAAGGATAGTGACACCTGCCATGATCAAACTACCTGCCTTCATTAAACTAATGCAGTGACTACAATGAAAATAGCCTCTAAACGGTGTTCTTAGTGTACATTAGGTCACTAGAACAGAATTGCAAACTGTAAGTCCCATTTATTTAAAATTAACTAAGGTGCACCTAACACTCTCTGAATAGCACCTACATGTACAGCTATTTTAAAATTAATTTGGCTTCTGATAATGCATTTAGTTTTGGAAAGGTGCATTTGCGGTAAAAGGGATTTGCATCCAAAGGCTTCCCTCTCTGGAAGGATACAACTCATAAGCTTGATTATTTGCTTTAAGTGAAGAGGAGACATAATTAGATTTTCATATTTGAGGATGACAAAAGGAAAGGTGACCCCTGAAATGGAAATGGAATTAGCCAAGGTGACATTTACATGGTTGTATGCTTCTCACTAATACACGTCATATATAGAATTATTTTATAGGGTTTTTCAACCATTTCTTATTGAATTTGCTTATACGGAAACATTTATATATTTATTTATGTAGGCTCAATTTTAAGTCGGAGAGCTGCCATGTTTCTCATCTTGTTGAAAAATGACATCATTTGCACATTGGCAGTATGGAAACCCAATATTCAAGATCATTAAACTAGTAATAATGCCAGATGGGAAACTGATTTTCAATCTGTTCCCATAAAGCCAATGTCACAAAGGTGTTACTCTTTAATAAGAGAGTTACCATTAACAGAAGGCAAGTTTTCCAATGTGATTTAAAACAGGCAAGAAATGAATCTGACCATACCAGTTTGTGCAGTAATACAGAAACAAAGATAAAATTATCTCTGAAATGGTACAAAACAGTCTAAATTAACAGATACAAAATAACAAAATAATCAAAGCTCCTTTAGTTTTATTTTGCAACAAAGTTTGTGGAGTCGGTCAGGTTTTGTTGGAGGGGATTGTTGCTCTTGCTGTTTGTTTGTTCAGTTTGGTTGTGTATTTTCAATGTCTTGTATACCATTTAGGACCACTTTTGTTAGGTTGTTGTTATGCTTTTTTTCCTCAAGTTGTCAGCTGCCTTGAGCATGGTTCAAACTGTGGAAAGGTGGCATACAAGTAAAATGATGTATGTACCGGTATGTATGTATGTATGTATGTATGTATGTACCTAAAGCTTTTAATTCAACAAAATCCAAAGGAATGTGCATTTCAGAAAGCAAAAGTCATGAAGTACATTATGTTTTATCAGAAAGCAAATCTGATAGATTTAAATATGTTGGTGCAAAGTTTCTTGGAACAATTTCTAGTGGTACTGATGCAAGACCAGTGACTTCAAAAACATTTCTTTGCTTCTGCTAAACCCCTAAGAGAAATACATAGTAGCTTACTGACTAATACACTTTGCTCCTGTCTACAGCAAGTCTAGCAATTATATAACCCCTTTTTAGCTCCAAGTAGTTTAAGCAGCATATAAGATACAAAAACTATGACCAATATTTCATTTAAAAACTAGCAGGGCACAAAGTATTTTATATTGTCGCAGCTAAATAAATGTCACCATCACACCTGGTAGAGACAGAAAGGAGCAATAGAACTTGATGCCATTAGCGTAATGATAGCGCTGTGACCAAAATTCCTTGACACACCACATCAAGTGGTTTCATGTTGATATTAAAGAGCAGGGGAGATAATACAGACTCAAACCACCATGGATGTAAGTTCTACTCAAAGTAGACCCATTGAAAATAACATGGCTAACTTAGGGCCATTAATTTCAACAGGTTTGCTATGAGTATAACTTGGTTGCATGCAACCTCACAAGCTCACACCCGCTGGGTAACATTTAATTCTCCTTTCACCGCGTTCTGGAACCTCGCTGTAAGATAAAGCAGAACCACACCAATGCACTGTCGGATCTCAGTCCATGATGGCAGCTCGAAAACTGGATGGATATTGTGGTGAACACATTGGAAGCTGCTGAGAAATCTAGGAGAGTCAATCAAAGCACATGTCTTGCGAAGGGTAACCAAGGCAATATCTGCCCCCAAACCCTGGCAAAAACTCAGACTGAAATCACAGAATCATAGAATTGGAAGGGATCCCAAGGGTCATCTAGTCCAGCCCCCTGCAATGCAGGAATCTCAGCTAAAGCATCCATGACAGATGGCCATCAAACTTCTGCTTGAAAACCTCCAAGGAAGGAGAGCACACCACCTCCCGAGGGAGACCATTCTGACAGCTCCTACTGTCAGAAAGTTTTTTTCTGATGCTTAGGCAGAACCTCCTTTAGTTGGAATACATTCAAAACTGCACCTTTTTTAATAACAACAACATCAGCAACATAAAGGAAGGCGAACCAAAACTGTACCTGTAACTGGTATCTTTGGGCTTTCAGGTAGTCTTCCTGGATCAGCTACTGAGGCTCTCAGTAATGAGACAACACAGAAAAATGCAACTAGGTAGTAACCTGTAAAATATAACGGCAGTCTTCTTAATGGAAATTTTAACGGGCTTTTCTCAAATTACTGAAGAAAATGAATTGCATGCATGTCTCTGAAGCTTCAAATGCAGACTGCTCCACTTTTTGGAAACAAAAGAAAATATAGGGAGAATACAGACTATGTCTTGCTGCAACACACAGCAAAGATAATAACCTACAGGTGGACTGACCTGCTGCACAAACGGCAGAAGCGGCAAGGATTTGTGGCACTTCTGGTTATGAATAAGTAGACTGATGGGCATGGCAGATGGCAGAGAGTCTGGTCTATGCTACCAACTTCCTCTCCTATATCCCCATATTGCTCCCCAGCTCAGTAGACTAAGGGTATAACCACTCCAAGATATTAAAGGGCTGCAGAGGTACTGCAGCCCATAATAAGAGTGGTACTAACACAGCCGCTAGACTTTTACTTGTTAAATATTTGTTAAAATATGATCTTACAGATACAAGTGGCGTCTCCACCCCCATCGTTCTGCCCGGACGCTGAGGTCCAGCGCCGAGGGCCTTCTGGCGGTTCCCTCATTGCGAGAAGCAAAGCTACAGGGAACCAGGCAGAGGGCCTTCTCGGTAGTGGCGCCCGCCCTGTGGAACGCCCTCCCATCAGATGTCAAAGCAATAAATAACTACCTGACATTTAGAGGGCATCTTAAGGCAGCCCTGTTCAGGGAAGCTTTTAATCTGTGATATTTTACTGTATTTTTTGTTTCTATGGAAGCCGCCCAGAGTGGCTGGGGAAACCCAGCCAGATGGGCGGGGTACAAATAATAAATTATTATTATTATTATTATTATTATTATTATTGATGGGAAATGGCAAATCGATTACTCAGAGAGTCAGTCAATATTTCCTGTACCTATCATGCTAGGATCAGTAATCTCAAAACACCCCAGTCAAGCCTAATCTTGTTTGTGAAATCATACATCCCTGGTACCACTTGGTACATCTTTAGAGGGTTAAAAGTTACTTCTTTGGGGAGGAAAGCAGAAGGGATAAACACTACCCATGTGTGGATGGAGCACAGCAGGAGACACACACTCAAAAAACACTGTTGCTGTGAAGAGGAAAGGGGAAATGTGCAAAAGAGTACAATGTAGAAGTTTTGGGTGAACTATTGATATTCTTGAAAGCACTCCCAAACTTGTTTGCAGGCAGAATTACCAGGAGAGCGCTCTCAATCACCCCTTTCCTTTAGTTAGGGTTGCCATGCATCCAGAAATTCCTGGAATACTATAGTCAGGCAGATATTGGCAAAATGTCTAGCAAAATAATGTGGACGTATGAAAAAAGCTCAACAACTTTTATGTCCGGATTTATTGCAACTTTAGCATCTGATCTTTACTTTTAAAGCTATTCATCTCTCCGTCCAGATTATTCTTTCTCTCTTATCTCTTTGCTCCATCTGTTCTGCACAAGCTCACCTACTGCCAGCTCCCTTCTCTCTCTCTTCTCCCGTTTGTATCTCCATACAATCTGTTAAACCGGTTTCTATGCCTCCTGTCTTGAGAATATAGTCAGTGCACAAAGTTGATGCAGAACATATTGGGAAAAAGCTATGGAAGTATCAAATTAGCCTACCTGAACACAGTTACAATAACTGTGGATTTGTTTATGAAAGTCAATGAAAATATTGCTATGATCACCATCTCCCCCCTCTGCAGTTATTGGGAACTTTTTTTATTCCTTAATATATGATATTAAAAGAAATTGACTCTTTCCTTCAGAAGCCTCAAAAAAAGCTGCATATGATAGATATAACTGCTGTAATATGTCCATTTGATTGGCTTTTAACTAATTACCCAATTAGTCAAACAGATAATAATTAAAAGTTTTTAACTGACTGCAGTGGCACACTCAGTCCGAGTGAAATAAAAGAACTAGCGAGAAATGTGACTTACACAGTAGTGTAACCAGTGATATATGCTCCTCTTCATAGTGTGGAAAGAGGATAATTTTTGGAATGAAGAGCGTGTTGAAAAGCCAAACAAAGATAATCAGGCCCATACAGAACCAGCCCTGAGGATCAACAACAAAGTGAATCCGTAGTCCCATTGTACATAATCTGAAGGCAGCTTGCTCCACGCAGAAAGGGGGGGGGGGGAGAGACACTAAGCCTAAGGAGGGGAAAAAAACATTAATTAGTTTAACAATTTTATGAAAGTTCCCAAGCTGTGTCAGTAACACACAAATGAATGGCACCACGCATGAAGGAAGCAACCTTCAGCTGTAGGTGAAAAAGAAGTTAAGCCAGGGAAGCTGCCCTTTCATGAAAGAGATGCCACTCCAAGGTTCACACTAGGAAATCAAATAGGATTCCACACATCACTGAATGACCTTTAGCCAGACAGGCTGCCAGTCCTCCATTTCTTGTTGCCCACTAAGTTTGAAATCCTATACACACTTTCTTGGGTAACCAAGTCACATGAAACACAGAAATAATTACTTTTGGACAAACATTGCTTATCATTATTTTTACTTATTTATTTTTAGGGGCTTTACATTCAGCACATAGTTCCTAGAGTGGTTTACAAAACAGATGACAGTAAAACACACTAAGAAAAGCATCATCATTAAAATAAACAATAAAACAGTATCATATTTTTTTTTAAAAAAAGAAGGCAACAGCTGAAAGCTTCAAAAGTTGGGGGAAAATTATAATAATAAGGTTTTTTGCTTGGTGCTGATAAGGGAGGAACATAGGTGCTAGGCAATTCTACCTGGGAAGGGTAGCTATATTACGTACCTACAAAAGCTGTGCCTTATCAGGATTAAGCTTCAGTTTGTTGGCTCTCATGAAGCCCATTACTGATTCCAGTCATTGACTCAGCACTTCTGCAACTTCACCTGAAATCAGACTTTAAAAAAGATAGGTGATTTATTATCCTGTTTCTACTGCCAACTAGTGATGGGGGCTTTGTGACATAAAGTATTCTCTACAAATATTTCCCTAATAAAAATAACAGAGAAACATTCCTATAGAGCAAATCTTTTTTTTAAAAAAAAAAAGGTGAAAGTTGCACAGCCACCATCTACTTGATCACTTTGCCTAAGATAAGAACAAGATATTTGCAACTGGCCAGGGCTTGTTATAGCTTTTTTTGGGGGGGGGTCTGGTATAAGTTTCCTTAGGAATCATATCACAAACAGCTTTTCCAAGCTGGCCAGAATTACCCCCTCTTGCAAAGAGGCATTAACCACATCCACATCCTGGTATCAGCCGTGCCAGGAAAGGGTCTGCAAGAAATGTTATTGCTGCACCTCTCTAAGCAAACTCATCCACATCCTCTGGTCAGAGAACCATAGAACTGTAGAGTTGGAAAGAACCACAAGGGTGAACCAGTCCAGTGTAGGAATCTTTTTTTTGCTCAACTTGGGGCTCAAACCCATGACACTAAGATTAAGAGTCTTATGCTCTACTAAACCAGACTAACAGGTGTTCTCAACATCTCCCTTGAATGAGCTATAGAAACGGAGGCATTCAAGTCAAGGCAAACATGAACGTTCCTGGACTAGGTTTTCAACAGAAGTACTTGCTCTGCCAAATAGAGAACTTGGCAAGGAAACTAAAAACAATCCCTCGGATTCCATCAGCCAAATACTCATAGATCCATCATCCCTGTGGAGACTACCACCAGTGTAAACTTCATTGGGAAATGATCTGATCGTGACGTAGAATCAAACTCCCACAGGTTCAGATCAACTTGTTTATGAACAGGCTGTACTTGAGCAAAAACTTTAAACAAATCAGATATTTATCTAAGGGGCGGCTTTACTCTACTCTTAATTTCACACTTTGCCTACAAACCATAAGTATAGACCAACCAAATGTGTTTCAAATCTCTCTCAAGCAACCCCAGACTTCTCCTATATAAATTCTGCACCTGCATCCAATTAAGAATTCAGGTAGTCATATGTAAAGTCCTACACCAGATGGGCAGGGTAATACATTATTATTACTATCATTACTACTACTACAAGTCAAACCGCATTTCTTCTGCTACACCTACACACTGCCACTGAACTCCACCTAAATTCCTCTCTTCCTTGAATATCACAGATTGCATGAACAGCCTTTCTTAATCTTCTACATCGCATCGCAACTAGCTTTAAATAGCCGTTGCAACTCCTTTTATTCTGTGAGCGCCATCAAGCACAGAGCAGGTTGCCCGACACATTTTCCTGTACTGTGCCATAAGTGCTGAGAATTTCATCAACATGTGCAACGATAGGTGCTGTTTTAGCATATTGTGTTATTGCTCAGATTAACAGATTTTGCATCCCTTATGATATCTGCCATATCAGAAAATTGGCACAGGTGTTTTCTTTTTCGCCATAGTTAAAAAAGTTTTCTTTACAAAGGTGCTCCACGTGTTAAGTGAAGTTGCTTACATTTCGGTAAGATGGCAATGATGTTGCTAGGGGGGTTGTGGGAAAGACCAGCATCACTGCTTCATCGGTTCTCGTTTTTACTACCATAGAATCATAGAACTGTAGAGTTGGAAGGGACCCTGAGAGTCATCTAGTTCAATCCCCCATAATGCAGGAATCCTGCCCACAGCTGCGCTTGGGTGCATTATTGCAGTTTTGCTATTAACAATTGGAAGGAACAGCATAACAGCTAGGCATACCAGGGATGGGAAATCTGCGGCTGTCCAAATATTGCTGGACTCCAACTCCCATCGACCCTCAACCAGCATGGCCAATGGCCAAGGATGATGGGAGTTGTAGTACAACAGCATCTGGACACCCACAGGTTTTCCACCCCAAGGTACACTCAGGTAGGCCCCTGTACGGCTGTGATGATCCTAAAAGGAAAATAAATACCACTGAATTCAAAGTAAGCATGGCTGGGAACACGCTGCAAGTTGTCTATTACCAGAACTCTGCCAATTAGCCTCCTAGTGACAGCAAAAGTGATTAAGCCGACAAATAATTATCGTAATAAAAAGAGCATGAGTTGTGAAATCAAGTGCCACAGAATCAAGAAAAATCCAAGCATTACAGAGGGAAGACTACTATACTGCTATCAAACTTTGCATAGCTGTCAAAGTGCTATACAGGAGGGATACTTGGTTATCTGTAGTTTCTGGCAACAGTTGGATACATTTTTGTTTCAACAAGCTTCTCCAGCTGCCTTAGGTGTTAATTTTGTAGTGTTTTTAAACCTGTCTTTAGTTATTTGCTTTTAGCATTGTGGTTTTTTTAAAAAAACTGTTTTTGAAATTATTCTTAGCCATTTTTGTGGTACATCTGTAAAATGCCTTTGAGGCAATTAACATTAATTTTAAAACAAATGAATTCAACAAGTTTATGTGCAATCAAACCAAGGGAACTTCAGGGTGCTGGTAACTTTTTCTTTGGTGTATGCATGTTTCCAAAGTGACCCTGCTGTAAACCAGCCCTTTTAGCACAAGTACCCATTTGTAGATAATTTAATTAAACAAATAATCTATTTTTTAAAAGCTAATCCCAGTGTGCCACACAAACGTTTAGCAGGCATTTCACACCTTCAATTGTACTATCTATATCAAATATTGCTAATCTCAGCCAACTCCAAAGCTAAAGAGCATGCTTTCACACAGCCAATAAAAATTATTCCCATCAGACCTACTACATCAGTTGGTACATGCTTACACACGGCGCACACCTGTGGTTAAGGTAGAAATAACTATTAAAACTAGGTATATTTCTAATAATTTTCTGCCAGGTAATATAACAATCACTTAACATTTATATTGGCATCCAAGCACTTCACAGCCACAAACCAGTAATTCATAGCCATTGGTTCAATGGGTAGCTGGAACTTTATGATCCAATTATGGGCAAAAAAGTATGAGCTGAAACAGGTCTGCCGTGACTTCATGGAGATCATTAACCCACTGCTAAGAGCGGGAAATGGCTCCCTGACTCAAACTGAGGATATTTTCTTACTGTTATCTGAAGGAAAGGAGTTTAGTAAACCAGATGTGGCACAGGTTCATCTCCAAATGGAAGAAGAAGAGGAGGAGGAATCAAGTTTCTGACCACCATCAACCCTGAAAAGGGTTTGTTCCAGTGTAACCAATTGGTATTTGGAGCGGCACCTTCACTAACAATTTGGTAGGCATTGATACTATGACCAGTTACAGATACAATCTGGATGACATCACCTAGTGATGAGGATCATATGAAGAATCTGGAACATGTTCTCAAGAGGCTGAAGGAACGTGGATTATGAATCAACTGTGATAAATGTGAGCTCTTCAAGGAATGAGTTACATACAAGGGACAGACCGCAGGCACCAAATGACTACACAATTCACCTGAAGAAGTAGAACTTGGAGGCACTTTTGTTTCAGCAAGCTTTCCTAGGCATGTAATTTTAGCATGCAATTTTCAACCTGTGATTTTGGTAAAGATCTTTATTTTTAAAATAATTTAACTTATACAACACACTATATATAACCTGTGTTTTCTTTTTCAGTATCTTAAATTAATATTTCAAATTAAGTCACTTAGAGTTATAGAGTTGTAGAATTTGAAGGGATCCCAAGGATCATCGAATCCAATACAGGAATCCTGCCCACAAATGTCCCTGGGTGGGCTCAAAACACCAACCTTCCAGACGCACTGACCCACTGTGCCACAGGAGGGCCAGAAGCCTTTCGTTTGAGTAATCGGTATATAAATTTGGTTACTTAAAAAAAACCCCTAACAATTAAATAATTACTGCCTTTTAACTGCCCCAGGTGATTGCTTCATTCACTCAGCACTGCAACCTCTGCCCCTACCAGGCACTGGTGCTGCCAGTCACTGGGACGTCCGCCCTGGTATTGGTGCTGCCAGTTATTCCCTCTCCATGAACATGCTTACTAGGCATTGGCAGTGCCTTTGTATGCAAGTTGGGCAGCCACCACCATTCATCTCCCAAACTGTAATGCCCAACACAGGCAATGCATTTTTGGAGGTATGAGATGCATGGGCGTAGCCAGGATTTTTGTTAGGAGGGGAGCAGCCAAAGGGGGAGGCAGAACCTCAGATAATTGAGCACTTGCAATGCTTTTCAATAATATTTGTGGATCTAGGCCCCACCCCCTTGGCTACGCCCATGATGAGATGGCAGCTTCCTAGCACCAGCCCTACACATCACAGAAGCAATAGAAAGGTATTGGCCAAACTGGTTGGCCAACCACCACCTTTTTCTGTTCCAAAGCAATAGAGAGAGCCAGGAAGTCTCAGGCCTGCCTCCGAGAACAGCAAACAGTGGGCTTTCTTAAACATATGATACCGAGAAGCCTCAGGAACACAACAGTATTATTACTCTTACTGTTATTGATTTAATTTGTACACCTGCCCTTCAGCCAAGCAGCACAGGGCGGTTTACAATATAGAAACACAAAAATATATAGCAACAAACAAAAACAATAAAAACTTCCCCCCAGTTTAAATGGACACAGATTGTTGAATTAGCCAAAGGCCTAGGAGAAGAGGGACATTTTTGCTTGGCACCAACCGAACCTACCTAGGGAGACCATTCCACAAGCAGGGAGCTACCCAAAAAAGCAGGGAGCTACCCCAAAAAGGCCCGTTCTTGTGTAGGCACCCTCCGGACCTCTTGCAGAGGAGGCACACAAAGAAGGGTCTCAGGTCATGACCGCAAGGTCCGGGTTGGCTCATATGGGGAGAGGCGGTCCCTGAGATATTGCGATCCTGAGCCGTCTAAGGCTTTATAGGTCAAAACCAGCCCTTTGAATTGGCCCCGGAAACTAGCTGGTAGCCAGTGCAGTCGAGCCAGGATTGGCATGGTATGCTCAAACCATCTTGCCCCAGTGAGCAACCACAAATTCTGCACTAGTTAAGTTTCCGAGCTGTCTTCACAAACAGTGCCACAAATAATGTGTTGCAGTAATATAACCTGGTGGTTAGGCTGACTCGATAGGAGCGCAGCTGAACCACCAGCCGAAGCTGATGGAAGGCACTCCACACCACCACCGAGGCCACTTGAGCGTCAAGGGACAGCGATGACCCAGAAGCACCCTCAAGCTACGTGCCCGCTCCTTCAGAGGCAGTGTAACCCCTTCAAGCGGGCTTTATAGGTCCTTGCCTGGCCGAGACACCTGGATCTCCTCAACTGCAAGCCAACAAGCTCCATGGAAGTGTCAAAAGGGTGTGTGTTCATCAACCCCTTCCCAGCTCCAAGCTTGGGAAGAAGGGTTCATGTCTGATGGTTCTTTGGACCATGAGGTGGTGGTGAGGGACGTTGGGCTTGCAGATGGCCCTGTTGATGGAGGAAAGCGAGACTTCTTGCCCAGATGTGAAGGAGAGGAAGAAGAAAAAGGAGAGGGAGAGGGAGAGGGAGAGGGAGAGGGAGAGGAAGAGGAAGAAGAGGGAGAGGAAGAGGAAGTGGAAGGGGGAGAAGGAGAGGGACAAGGAGAAGGAGAGGAAGAAGAAGAGGGAGAGGGACAGGGAGAAGGAGAGGGAGAACCCAGCCCCACTTCCCTCCCTCCCACCACCTCCCAGTTCTGCCTCCCCTTGCCCACAAGTGCAGAAGGGCCAGGAGCATCCCGGGCCACAGCGCCCCCTTGCGGCCCCTGGCGTCACTCCCCTTCCATCCACTCACCGTTGGGAAGCTCCGCCGACCCTCATGCACCCCATGCACTCGGCCGTACTCCGGCTTCCGGCTGCTGTTCTGCGCAAGCGCACGGAGGGGGAAGCAAAAAAAAAATAAAAAATGCTCTCTCAGTCGGAGGAAGGACGCGGCGCGCTTCCCGCCCTTCGCCTCCTTTGCTGTCAAAGCGACTTCCTGGCGCTTTTGCAGGCATCCTAGCAACGGGAGCGCGGGCGGAGGGCTCGCTTCTCCCTGGCCCAGAGCTGCAAGCCTGGAGCTACGGAAGTGGAGGAATTGCTGCGTCCCAGGCGAGCAGAGCAGAAGAAGCTCTCATCATAATAACCCAGCGCAAACTTCCTTGGGAGCATTAACCCCCGGTGGGACTTGCTTGTGAGCAAACCTGGGAGACGTCGCCTGCAAACAGTCTCGGCGCGCTTCGGTTGCTGATCCAAACTGCTGCAAAATAGTTGGGTGTTTTTTAAGCGATCCAATGCTAACTTCTCTCTCTCTCTTTTTTTTTAAAAAAAATATTTTTTATTGGAATTTTATTTGCAACATAACATAGCCCCCCCAATACACAACCCACCCTCATTAAACGTGAACATAACGTACATTGAGCATAACATACAACAATACAAACAACGAAATAAAAGATTTCCTTTATCCTGTATCTGACCTCCTTATTTACTTCTTATAAACTGTTTCCTTTATGAATAATTATTAAGATTTTTCTAATTATAACTTAAATATCCGCAAAGTCTCCTGCAGACATTAATCAAAACAAGTCCAGGTATGTATTTTAGGGCACTGTCTTGTGAAGTATTCTCTGCATTTCCCCCATGCTTTTTGAAACTCTTGTCTAGTGTGAGCCAATGCTAACTTCTTAGGTTAGTGTCATGCTGGGAACATTTGTTTAAAGCGCCCTTTGTACAGTAGTTACATGCCTCTTACTCTCTCGTGGTGTTACATTTGCAGGCTGAATTACAGTGAATTTGGAGTTACAGTGTCAGGTGGGTGCAGCCACCAGCGTGGGTTTCTGGGTGCAATCAGTGCCGGATTTACGTATAAGCTAAACAAGCTATAGCTTATGGCCCCTCTCTCTTGGGAGCCCCCAAAAAATTTAAAGACCAAAAAAACTGGATGTACATTGCCCAAATATAGGATAAAAAACAAATAAAATAAAACCTACATACAGCAACAGTGTTTTGTGTTGTGTAGGCTCCTATTTGTTACGTGCAAATGGCTTTAGATACCTATTGTTTAGTCACTTAGTCGTGTTTGACTTTTTGTGACCCCATGGACCAGAGCACGCCAGGCACTCCTGTCTTCCACTGCCTCCCGCAGTTTAGTCAAACTCATGCTGGTAGCTTCGAGAACACTGTCCAACCATCTCGTCCTCTGTCGTCCCCTTCTCCCTGTGCCCTCAATCTTTCCCAACATCAGGGTCTTTTCCAGTGAGTCTTCTCTTCTCATGAGGTGGCCAAAGTATTGGAGCCTCAGCTTCACAATCTGTCCTTCCAGTGAACACTCAGGGCTAATTTTCTTCAGAATGGATAGGTTTGATCTTCTTGCAGTCCATGGGACTCTCAAGAGTCTCCTCCAGCACCAGAATTCAAAAGCATCAATTCTTCGGCGATCAGCCTTCTTTATGGTCCAGCTCTCACTTCCATACATCCGGACAAGCCACACCAGTATCCCTGCCAAGAAAACTCCATGGACAAAGACACCAGGCATAGATACCTATTAGGTCCATAAATTACCATACAGCATATATTCAACACAAAAAACAGGGACAATTTGTTGTTGACAAAGGAGAGCTGGACATATAAAGGGCCCCATTACCTTCAGTAGCTTAGGGCCTCATCAAACCAAAATCCGGGCCTGAAACTGCTCCAAAATAGTTGGGTGTTTTTTAAGTGAGCCAATGCTAACTTCTCACATTAGTGTCATGCCTGGGAATATTTGCTTAAAGGTCCATTCGTAGTTACATGCCTCTTATTGTTTCGTGGTGTTACAATTGCAGACTGAATGTTACAGTTACCACAAATTCGGAGTTACAGTGTCAGCTGGTTCCATGCTTGCAGCCACCAGTGTGTGTTTCTGGGTGCAATCCCAAACAAGCTTTTTAGGAAATAAACTGTGCTTTTTTCTGGGGTGACACAGGGGTACACATACACCTAAACATTTTGTGAATCTTTGTGCTTTTGTCCATTTGCTGTATTTATTTTTCCCAATTTGAACTATAAAATGGCAATTTTCTTGAGTGAAAATGAGAGTACCCCTAAACATTTTTTTAAAAAGAAAAAAAAGCACTGGAAATAAGTACTGCTGAACTCTGCGGGATATAGGGGCCGGCTCCCTGGGTTCCTGAGCACCCAACAAAATTCCTCATGAAGTGGCTGGGCACCCACAAATTTCGGTGCCAGTTTCATGCATGCTGCGGTCGTGGGGCCAAGCTGGCACTCCTGCAGCGGGACCTCTGAATAAATATGTTTAGGAGGAATAAACATGTATTTTGAGGAGGAGGGAAATATTTGGACCACACTGGTCAGGAGTGCAACAGGGTGTGAGAAGATACTGGAAGATCATGCTTATTGTAGGTCATATTACTCTGGAGTAAATATCCTCCCTAGTAGAAATTACAGTCCCACTTCTTTCATATAAATGGACACTGGAAGAATGGCAGGGGTGCAGAGTACAGAATGTTATTTTAAGGGGCAATTTGCTTGTGATAAGTAATCCGGAATATGCCTCCAACTAGAGACTCAGAAATTATCAGAATACCCCAATGGAATCAATGGGAAGTTCCTGAGAGCTGTGAATGCCAATTGCATATGACTGAAATAAAAGAATAACCTACGTATAAAACAAATAATATTTAAAAGGGATGGAGTGGGCCACAGGAATGGAACATATCATTCATCACATTGAAAAAGGTAAAGGTACCATTAGGTCCAGTCGCGGATGACTCTAGGATAGCGACATTCATCTCACTTTACTGGCCAAGTATAGCTTCTGGGCCATGACTAAGCCGCTTCTGGCAAACCAGAGCAGCACACGGAAACGCCGTTTACCTTCCCGTTGGAGTGGTACCTATTTATCTACTTGCACTTTGACGTGCTTTCGAACTGCTAGGTGGGCAGGAGCTGGGACCGAGCAACGGGAGCTCACCCTGTCACGGGGATTCGAACCACCGACCTTCTGATTGGCAAGCCCTAGGCTCTGTGGATTGATAGTGAGCACTAATTGGTATTAGCAAGGACAGACCTTCAGGAACTGGAGTGGGGTGAGGACCACCCCAGTTCCAGGTACCATCATTCCAATTCTACAGCCTGTATTGATGTGTTCCTTCTAAGAATCTATTCCTTGCTTTATTTGTAGCTTTATTTTATTGGAACCCATTTGTGCCAATTAGAATTTGTAGCTCCCATTATTTCCTACGAGCATTCAGCTGGCTCTCATTCTTTCCAGTGGGCATCCTTGCCATCCATCTTGCAGATCACAAAATATATGGGGGAGTCCTAACAGAAATATGCAAATAAGTTGGGTATCCCACGTTTCACATCTGCAAAGTTATTTTCTGACAAAAAATTGCCAAATATAAGGTCAGCTACAATTTGCCAACACATTATTCAAGTCTAGCAAATTCCCCTTATGTGGCTATGAAACAGAAATATTTTAAGAGAATTCTGGCCTGAGACAAATCAGCGATGGCTGGTCGCCATAAGCAGCTCAGAATGGACAGCAGTTTCGCTGCTCCCAGCTGGGAATAATGCCTTGAGCACCCATAACTGATGCACATACACAATCTCTTGGCTATGGAAAGTCACCCCCCATCTGTCTGAGTGGCATGATGCCCACTCTAAATTAGTCTGACTTCTGCCCTCCAGCAAAAGTCCTAAGCAGATCCTAAATTGTAATAGATGAAATGGGTAGTTTAAAGATTATCACCATGCACTGTGATATGTATTTGGTAAAAATAAAAAAGTACTTATTGGATAAATTGTGAGTGCTGTAATATACATGCTTTTAGTAGGATTAGACTCAAGTTTGGAAATAAACTAGAACAATTTCAAATCTCACATTCACTACACATGCAATGCATGATGAAACGCACAATAAGCAATGGTTGGAGCTTGTTAACATATAGTGGTAGATTCTGGCAATATCTGCTGCACCATTTAATGGAGTTGCGCATTCTGTGTATCCTGAATGACAATACAGCTCTGAAAAGGTAGAACCTGGGAGGCTGTAATCGGAAGGCAACTAAGCAATGCAATCTAAACTGTATCTACTCAAAAGTAAGTCCAAGTGAATTCAGTGGGACTTACACCCAGGCAAGCGTAGCTCAGACTGCTGCTTTAACTATTTTTATTATGAAACGTAAGGAGTGCAAGGAGGCTTGTTAGATATGACTGGTCAATAATTTGGAAATCATAGAATCGTAGAGTTGGAAGGGACCATGAGAGTTATGTAGTCCAACCCCCTGCAATGCAGGAATTTCAGCTAAAGCATCCAGGACAGATGACCATCCCACCTCTGCCTAAAAAACGATATCGTTGCTCTGTGTAAACTTCCAGAGGGATGGCATTGTGCAGTAAAACAACAACAACGATGAAGAGTCTTGTATTATCTTAGGAACAATCCTGGGATAGCCCAATTGGTAGAGCATAAGACTCTTAATCTCAGGGTCATTTGAGCCCTATGATGGGTGAAAGTTTCCTGTACTGCAGGGGGGTTGGACTAGATGACCTCCAGGCTCCCTTCCAGCTCAGGAAATCTATGGGGGCATGGGCGTAGCTAGGATTTATTTATTTTTTCCATTTCCATTTTTTTATTTTATTTTTTATAACATTTTTATTTTATTTTATTCACATAATATACATTCTTTACAACAAACAACTCCAAAATAAGCAGACAACTCCCAAATAAAATCATATGTAACAAAACCGTAAGTCTCATGTTTTCATTTACACTGATCTCCTCTCCGATACCTTTACTTGATATTTCTTGCTGCATTCTGTTTTCCTTATAGAATCTTTACAAAAAATTAAATTTCTTAAATACTGTACCAATCTTTAACAATT